TGGATTAAGCCATCACAATCAAATAATGCTGAGAGTTCTTAACTTAACATTTGATAGTCATGTTCTTGTTAAAGCAATAGTTGTATAGTTTCAAACATTTTACACTTTTAATACATGCCGTGAGTTATGTAACATAACATTAGTTAAGATACATATATATTTCTGTAAATAATTAGAAGCGTAAATAATGTAAGCAATCATCGCACACTTGAAGCCAAAATGAGCCCTTTAGTTTTTACCACACTCATAAATTGTATTTCATTCTCGTTTCCGATAATGTCCAACCACATAAGTGTCATTTAGATTTGTGAACCCTTAGATAAGCCAAGTAAGTTTTTGTTAGCGTCGCAACCCCACTACCCCTAATGTTATCTTAGTTATAAGCTCATATTTTAAACAATTAAAGCCAGTAGACACCCAGCTTCAAACAGTTTCATTTAATATATAATTGAACATATCTACAACATCCGCCATCGAGCTTAACTCATTCATTTTTGTCGCAACCCACGAAAAAGCCAAAAATTTAAGTAAAACAGTCTTGCAACCCGGTCACTGTAAAATTATAATAATATGTACATAGCGCGCTATTTTTAACGAATCTTTTTTTACCTATATGTAGTTTGTATTTTTTTTTAACAGACTGCGACCCTCAAGGCTCAAGGGCTTGAGAAACGATGGGGTAAGACATGCCGAACTCCATAGCTTTTCTTTAGCTCCCTTTGACTCACGCGACCTCTGAGATCGCGGATTAATTCTCTAGGAGTATCGCAAAGTAGCCATTTTATTCACAAACCAAAAACCCAAGTTTGTTACTCCCGGAACAAAAGCTTTAACCTTGTCAATACGCGACGCGAATACCTATAACAATTGATATAAACAAGCAATATATCTCCGTGTCTTCATTATCATACTTAATATTTTTTTGTTTAGAAATAGTATATATCGTCGCTGTAGAATGATAACCTCGTATGTCCAGAGAAACAAACATTACAGGAAAAGAAAATGTTTCATTTCGCCAATGTTCTTTAAAATATTATTATGTGTTCATAGTTTTAGATGGTGAAAAGGACGTATTTATTAATAACATAAATAAGTCCTTACTTCATGATTATACCAGTTAAATGACATAAGAGTCTAAGGGTCTGTTTCACAATGTATGGATAAAGTACCAAATAGCTATGCCACACATAAATTATTTGGAAGATAAATTGTGCAATTTGACATTCATCGGACTCTTAACTTATGATGGACTTTTTGTGAAGAATAGCGCTATCTGACAGTCGTGAAACGCAACTATAGTGTTTATCTTACCAATAAGTAATAAATAGTTAGAAATAGCTAATTTGGAACTTATGTAGAACTTATCCGTACATTGTGAAACAAACCCTAAGAATAAAAAATAAATGGTTTTTGACATACGAGGTTATGATCCAGTAAATATTGTAAATATTATTACAACAAAAGTAGATTTAAATTTAAATATGACATCAGATAGCAGTGTCTGGCATAGAGCCTAGGCCTGGGCCGGCCTAGGGCGCCTGTGCACCTATGAACTTTCGCCTGCGCCTTAAATATGTTCGCCTTTAAAGTTTTCTCGTACAGAAAATATCATGAGGAAACTGGCATGCCTTAAACCCAAAAATCATCAACAGCATCTGAGACACAGAAGAAGAACATAAAGTGAAAACTGAGGGCCAGAACTAAATGGTTGTAGCGCCACTGGTTTTTTTTTGACATCACATCTATGAGTTTATTGCCAATTCTTCGTATCCGTTCCACGCCCTTAATTTGAGAACTGGCAGTAAATGTAAAATTAGAAGCATTTCATATATATTTATTTGACGTTCATAAGTGTACATTGTGTTACCTATATGAATAACAGATTTCTGACTTTTGATGTCTATTCTAGAGACCAAATCATTTTCTTCGGTCTCTTTCTAATATATAAAACTTACGCGGTGACTAAAAGAGAGACGAGTATTTTAATTTAATTTATATTGCCCTTAGATTTTTTTCATATAAACAAGAAGATGGCATCAGAAAGATATGGAACCAAACGGTACTTTAATGATTATCAGAAGATGTCCTGCAGAGCCCTATTTTCCAATTACTTCTACTACAATTTAAAAACCAACAAAGGGTTCTTTTCTCTTTTCCACTCAATAAGGAAGTAAAAAATATATGTTTATAGTTAAGGAACCATTAATTATGTGCGACAATATAAAATGTCGTATACAAGGTTGGAACGACGCGCGCGCATCTTTCCGGGTACAATAAATTATCGTTGTCAGGAAGGAATCCTTAAGGTGACGTAGGTTTGATTCCCCGAGCTACAATTCCGGGCCAATACCACAAGAAATACAGAAACTTGGTCATAATGTACAAGTTATGGGATTTCAAAGTCGTATTTCAATAAAACTCACGCTGTGACCCGAAAACATCTTGCGCAAGATTCGACTTATGTAAAAGTTTCTTTTGAAACAGACACGGAATAACACTTAATAGGACGGGGTATATGCCCCATGCCCCAGTAATATTAATTTATTTAACCTAATAATTGCAATATGCAAACGTTTTAACCCCCTCACCATGTACTTTATGTACCAAATTGGGCAGTTAATTGAAACACTCTTCTTTTTTAATAGAGCAAACGGGCAGGATGCTCATCTGATGTTAAGTGATCACCGCCGCCCTTGGATACTCTCAAAGGCCCTCAAGTGCATTCCCGGCCTTTTCAAATTTAAAACTATTCTTATGTCGATTGAAGTTCTGTTCCGTTCTTTCTTGCCCGGACCAAACAAACTAACATCTCTAATCACAACACAAATTTTAATGAGACAAAAAAAAATTTTGAAAGAGTGCAAATTCTCTTTTTTTTTTAAATAATATTGAAAAAAAATATTCATAAAAAAGTATTAAATAATCACTTTCGTGGCGCTTTGACGCAATTTAAAACTTTTAATTATTTATTTTTATATATGTGACATTTCAATACCTAATCAAATGGAGAGGTTTCATAGTGATATAGTATATCTTATACAATATAGCTTACGTCACCGAAGGGCCTAATGGCTCCGTCATTATCAGCAGGTTTTTTGGATTCCGTGAAAATATTTCGGAGACCATTCTTTAATATATTGCTAATAAACCATACCTCCAGCTGATAGAGGACAAAAATCTTTGTTTTTTATTTATTTTCTTACTATTTATTACTTAAAATATCATGTGGAACATGGTGTAATGGTTGAAGCTCCTTACAAACGTTGTGTAAAACAAAAAAATTGGCGATTAAAAAGAGTGGCGGAGAGTTTATTGCCAGTTCTTCTCTTCCGTTCTACGCCCTTGATTTGAGAACTGGCAGTAAATATCTAATTAGAAGCATTTAATGTACCTATATTTCTTTTTTGCCGTGAATAAATGATTTTAGACTTTGACTTGACTAATGTATGTACTTCGCAAAAGACAATGCATTGGCCTTGGGGAATCAACGTGCTACTCTCATCCCTGGGGTCGTAGATTCGATCCCCGGCTGTGCACCAATGGACTTTCTATGTGCACATTTCGTACGTACGGTGAAGGAAAACACGGCATGCCTTAGAACCAAAAAGTCGACGGCGTCAGGCACAGAAGCTTATTTACTTGCCTATTGACAACAGACCAAATTGATGTACTAAAGTTTTATAGAATACATCAATATCTACAAAGATTGCGATACCATAAAAAAGCTTGCATTTAAAAGTATATTTACCGAGAAAGCTTTAAGCTATAGAACGTACTACGAACCTAATTAATGCTATTAGAACCACAGAGCACATCTAAACTGTCTCAACGATTTAAGTTCTAGTTATACAACACAACAATTTCGTTCCACGACTACTATTTTGGAACCAGCCGCCCACTGAAGTCCAAATAGAGTGTACAAATTCTTAAAACGGCAACGCATTCGCGAGCCCTCTGGCATTGAAAGTGTTCATATTACTTAAAATCATGTAAGCCTCTAGCTACTTTCTCTAAAAAAACACGAAAGCATTTTTATAAACGTATACAGAACCGAAACCATAAACACCAAATCACTTTTTATACCAAGGAATCCAGTCCTTAATTGTATAGCACGTGCTCCGAAAACGCCACGAAATTCCACAGACTTTTTTTGCTCCATCTTCCAGTTTGTAAACACAAGCTTTCAACGCGTTGATGTCTGATCTAAATTGTTTTAAGCTTTTAGACTGTATTAATTATATTTTTTAAATTAATTTCCTACGTTAGTTATTAATTTTCGCCTAAGGGAGCGTTCAAGTATTACGTCACGCAATTTTTGAAGATTATTGACCCCCCCATGTAACGCTTCGTAACGTTTTTCTGTACCCAAGTACAGTACTGTACCAGGTATAGTAAAACGTTTCGTGACCACGTAGTGACTCTTTATACCTAAAAGTTACCATTATGTGGTGTAAAGTACTGGAAAGTCGAAAATAATATTAATAATAACGCATAATTCAATCCCCGCCCCGCATCGGAACGTTTTACCAAAGGACCCTCCTCCCTAAATTCGTTACGTAATACTTGAACACTCCCTAACACTACAATAAACATATTTTAAAACAAATAATCATCACAGTTTTATATGATTTTCACCATTCACTATGATTTTTTACGTCTCCCGGGATTTGAGTCGAAATCTCAATAGAAATAACGTAACACAATATTTGCTGTATTGTAATAAGAATAATATAAACAACAATATTAAAGAAAACAACTAAACTAAAGCCAATTCATAAAAAGATTCTGACAAATTGTGCTCTCACTCTGTGCTCAATCGCTGTGATGAAGAGAGACATAATACTTTAGTTTTTATAAATAAGGGGTAAACAACAATCTTGACTGTGACTTTGGATATGTGTTTCAATCATTTTTATTTCTTATCATCGCTCTGTGCCTGAAAATCAGCTGGTCTATTCACTCATCTAAACCCTTTACTCCACAGATCAAACTATGCAACCATGAAGCGTACATTCCTTCTCACACTACTCATAATTACCGCGAGCTGTCAAGACAGCGACACAGACTACAAGGACATAGAACCAGAGAGAACTCTACGAGAGACAACCGAAGCCATCACAGATACACCCAGCGATGAAATTGATAATGAAGAAAAAATAGAAATAAAAGATTTCGGTGATAATGAGACAACCGTACAAGATGTTGTAACAGAAGCATTCACAATGTCATTAGACAATAATGTTTATGAAATAAGAGAGGATATTTATTCTAATACACACAATGTACAGGTATGTTGTTATAAACAATTGTTGTTTGATAGATCTAGACTATAGTAACAAATTAATAACGCCCATTGAAGTCCATTAGCTACCAGACGTATAATGCTTTGTTTCACGTTCCTCACATCAACACCAACTATGCAAAAATCTTAGTTTTGTATCGCGCAGCCCGGACAACGACCACTATTTAAGCCTTGAGTTGTTTAAGATATCACGGAATATGCTTAAAAGAAGTATTAAGAATATCCATAGCGCTAAATCACCTGCATCATGAGCACACCCCACACACACTCCCTCACTTTCACGCCATCACACAGCACAGCCGAAGTAGGGTATTACGTATTTAATATTTTTTATTGATATTTTCCTTTTGTAAATATTATGTTTAGTATATTTGTTTGCTTATTATATATAATTTATGTTTGCTGTAGGATTACGAAATAAATAAATAATTTATATAACGTTATTATTGAATACTGCGATAGGATACCACATTAAACTCATACGAATCATTTTAGTTGGATGCCCCAGAAATAACGACGCGAGCCCCTGACACAATAGACGGCGTTGTTTCAAATCTTTCTGAACTAGATGATGAAATGGTGTCTGGACAGCGAAGCCCTAAGACCGAAAACTGTGAGTACCCTGTTCACGTAATAGACAATAATTGTTTTAATGAGATTGTATATGACATATATACAAATAATTAAGCGCTCTTAGTAGAATCCTTAAAACACAATATCGACGAAGGCAAGAATTTGATTGTGATGAAGCAAAAACATTGATAAACGAGCTAGGTCTGGATATCCATAGTTTATCCCCTGACACTTTAAAATCGATTTTAGTTTAGTTTTTGTAATTTTAATTATTTAATTTAATATTTGTATTATCTCTTCGTGTATATTTGCCTATAAGTGCTCGTCACATGAAAAATTGTATTTTGTGGTTATTTTACTAGGTTCACGTTATTTTATTTATCACGTGTCAACGGTTGTTGGACTTGTGATGCTGGTGACATATCGCAAACAAAGGGAAAACGCTATCGTACTCTAGTAGATTCTCTCCCTCTGGGTTTTGCTTATGCACATCTCTTTGACTCTCTTAATAACCAGTGTTACTTCAAATCTTCGTCAATCCCATGATTGGTTAATTTCATATCGTCACTGTAGAATGATAACCTCGTATGTCAAAAAACCATTTATTTTCTATTCTTATGTCATTTAACTGGTATAATCATGAAGTAAGGAGTTATTTATGTTATTAATAAATAAGTCCATTTTACCATCCAAAACTATGGACAAAAACACATAATAATATTTTAACGAACATTGACGAAATTAATCATTTTTGGTTTGGTTCTCTGGACATTCGAGGTTATTCTACAGCGACGATATATAATCTCTCAACCTCACCATACAGTAACCCCACGACCAAGGCACGCCAAGGCGGTATACTGGGGCTAATGTTTTAGAAAGTGCGGTTGAATTATAGTGTATGTTGGAAAGTGGATAATTTGTCATCTTTTGTCGTTCCTATACTTAACGAGACGTTGATTACCATTCCCATTAGCGAACTTTGTAGGTTGAAACTTTGTTTATGTTTAAACATTTACTTAGTTCAATAACAGTAATTTACCGAGGTGATGTACTACGTTTAAAGAATATATATATATCAATGGCGCTACAACCTTTTTAGGTCTGGACCTCAGATTTCTGTTTCATGATCATTTGTTAATCGAATAGGCTAGTAGATGATAGATGAGCTTTCTATACCTAACGCACGCCGTCAACTATTTGGGTCTAAGGCAAGCAAATGTTAAATGCGCACATAGAAAGAAAGTCCATTGGTGCACAGCCGAAGATTGAACCTACGAACTCAGGGATGAGAGTCGCATGCTGAAGCCACTAAGCCAACACTTTTCAACTTTAAATGAATACTCTTAAATTTTAGCCTAAAATCATTAACATTTATGAATTTAAAATCTCGCCTACAATAATCATACGTTAGTAATAAAAATAATTTAAAAAATAATTAAATACAAAAATGAAAAAAATGACAAATCACATATCATTAATATTATAATATGCTTAATATTTTTCCTGTTCCATTGTTAGCGATTTCTTTTTAATATCCAAAAGTAAATAATAACGTTAATATAAATTAACTCATGTAAAGATTTCCCTTAGTAATTTATATTTGATTATCTATTCTTATTGGGAACGTAACGGATTCGTATTTTTCTTAATAGAAAAGACTTTTGCATTTTCCTTTTTTTATATAACAGGGGACAAACGGGCAGAAAGCTCACTTGATGTTAAGTGAGCCCGCCCATAATTGCCAGTGGGCTCGCAAGTGCGTTGCCGTCCGTTTCCTTCACCGAGCTATAATTGTTATCTAACTATATATCATCTAACCATTAATTCCTCATTCAACCTATATAGCAAGCTGAACGATTGCTACAATTTCAGCTGACTCCAACCCCCCGGACCTCCGAACCTTCGAGAAGCCCAAACCTGTCCAAGCCTTAAGCAAAGCTGCGACCCTGCGGTCGTGGCTCGAAGACTCCTGGCTCCGACCGCCCGCAGGTGTCCTGGTACCTTTAAGACCGGCTGCACTGTCACGTGCCCTGGCTGTATGGAACGATCTGACAGCTGACGGCCTCAATCTGACAGACATTGTCATAGTCGGATATGACGAAAACGGTAAGTTTAGAATGACATGTTCTTTATATATTTTAAGTAATGATTAAAGACGCAATTAAAATTATGATTTTGCCCCATTCGTTGCCGAGACCCTTGGTCGGTGGGGTCCTAGCGCTATAAGGTTTTTTAAGGCAATATCAAAAGGTTAGCCGACATTCGGGACCGAAGAGCTGGCAGCTACCTCGGACAGAGTAGTGTAGCTATTTAAAGTATCTTGGGAACCTTGCCAAAAGGGACTCCTTTTAATAATACATTTTATTTATTATATTTTAAGGTTAGTTATTGCTTTTATTGTTCTTTTTTGTATTGATAAGCAAGGTTAAATTTTTATTTAATAATGTATTAGATTTAATTGCTAAATGTATATTGGAATATCTGTACATATAATAGTTTAAAGACGATATTCAGATTGATATCGAACGATGATTATGTATACGATAGTGTAACCCGAAAGACCAATCAAAATTACTAAAACGCGTCGCTGCACCGATTTAGAATAGAGCAAAGTGATGTACTACAGTTTTATAGAAAACATTCAAGTGACCTAATACAAAAATAACAAATATTTCAATATCACAAATAATATATCGATAATGTTTGTGATGAAAAGGAACGTAATTACCACTCGACGTTAAACCACTTTTAATGTGGAGCACCGCACTTAATAAAATGGATACATTCACTAACAAATACAATACATGTATAGACTCAAATATTCAGACAGATTGAAATTGAAATTGAAAAATGTGCCCGGCCAAAAAGGTAATCTCTGACATGTCAAAAAATGAAAGCTGTCAGAATTCTACGGAATTAAAAATCAGAGTATAAACACAAGAAAAGAATGCGACAAACAGAACAACAATATACATTACGTACATGATAATTATTAACTGGTTAGCAATAGACTAGAACTTAAGTAAATATTAGCAAAGAAACTTGTATATTTCTCAAACGATGTGATATAACCATGACGATATTTTCAACACATAGGGAGTACCTTAATACGTGAATTGACTGTGCTACTTTTGAAAGGGCCAGGTGCGATCTGGAGCTCGATACTGGCATGAGGTTCTACTATAGTATCACTGAGATAGATAGCACGAGAGGTAACGCGGGTCCCGCCGGGCAGCGAGCTCCGACTCGCCAATAAATATTATTAGGATAATAGATGACCCGGCAAACGTTGTTTTGCCATGTATATTATTTCTAGGAAACATTTTTTTAGTTCAATAAAAATAACTATCTACTATATTAAATAGGGGTTGATAGTAGAGTGGTGAAGATTAACGGTTGTATTTTTGTATGTTGTTTCATAAAAAATAAAAACAAAAAGGGTGGACACCCCTTATCACTTAGGGGTTTGAAAGATAGATAGTAGCCGATTCTCAGACTTACTGAATATGCATAAAAAATTTCATTCATAGGAATCGGTCGAGCCGTTTCGGAGTATGGGAACGAACATTGTGACACGAGAATTTTATATATATAAAGATTTCCGAAGTAGTTGCCACTTTTTAGGAAAGGGGAGATTTCGACACTCTGCTGCTTAGCTTCTCAGTCAAACATCTCCATGATTGCATGCCTGTATATGATGTATTTATTTTGATAAGGATTAAACTACTCTATTTGTCATAATATTAAAATTCAGACACGCGACGTATCTAAAGGTCGATTTACATCAAACGAACATAGAGCTAGAGCTAGAACAAGAGCATTCTTTCGTAATCTTTTAGTGTAAACGAAAGCTAGAGGTATCGATTTACATCAAACGAACATAGAGCTAGAGCTAGAACACAAGAACGCTTTGAAAAGACCGCTCAGTGGCGCGAGCACGTCCGAACACGCTAGAACGCTCTAAGCAACTGTTCGCGCGCTCTTGCGCCGTTTGCATCAAGCGAACGAGCATTCTTAGAATATTCTATAGAATCTTTGCGAACGCACTAAGAACAACGAAAGAATGCTCTACGCCTGTTTACACTAGAAGAATTTGATGTAGTGGGGATAGAATGAGCATTCGCTCGTCTGATGTAAATCGACCTTAAGATATTATCACTATATAAAGATTTGATTGAGGGACATTAAATTGTGTCACATTAATATATTACACAATTTGTTAAGATAAATTAAATTACACAAATTACCCATACGGAAGACTATTTAGTCAGGGCTGGGCTGGTCTGGATAAAATAAAAATAAAATTTGTTTATTATGGAACATAAGATACATGTATCACTTATTCCACGTCATTAAATTTAAACTTTTAGGCATCCCTACTCATCGGCAAAGAAGACAGAGGGTGTAGGCCGAGAGAAAAAGCCGGCGTAAAAAACTCTCGGTACTCTTTTAAAACAGCAAATCATCAAACAACACTTATTAAAAACAAATATCGCAAATTAATTAGAAGTAGTCTAGCACTAGTCCCAGGCCCTTTTATCAACTAGATAATCGTTGACTTTATAGTAAGCCTTTTTACACAGCTTTTCTTTAATACATTTCTTAAATTTATTTAAAAAGAGCCTCTGGGATTTTATTAAAGAAGAGTATCCCTTTCCCCAAAAAAGAATTACTAACTTTAGATAGATTATCCCTAGTTTCTGGCGTCTTTCAAAAATATAAGTATTCATCTTAACAAAATACTAAACCTAACATTGGTACAATTAATTTTTAAATCACTTTAATCTCCATTTAAATTACAAAATCGCAACTTCAACTGTTAATTAGCACATAACTAGCGATCAGCTATACGTCAATTATAATCAATAATTTATACGGCAATTATATTACATAACAATTACTATGGGAAAATACTTCCGTCTGCGTGATACAATGTTTTTTTTTTACATCTCAATCCGTTTCTATATAAATAACAAGTCGTTACGTTCCTACGGATGGTAAATATATAATTTAAAGTCCAATGCGTAGTTAGTAAACTTAAACGTTGACCCATCAATCCTAAGTCATTTAGTGTTGTTATTACCCTAAATATATAATATATTTATATAATATATCAATACGTTCTTACTAAGTGTTTAACATCGACTTTGAAACTTAGGTTTTTATTTAACCGTTTCGTCGACAAGTCAGACAAGGAAACCTGTTCACCTACTTTTGATACTCGCGAGTGTGTTGCCGGCCTTTTAAGAATTGGTACGCTCTTTTCTTGAAGGACCCTAAGTCGAATTGGTTCGTAAATACATCAACGGGCAGCTGGTTCCACATAGCGGTGGTGCGCTGCAAAAACAGTCTTGAAAATCGCTCAGTTGTGGAACGGCGGACGTCGAGGTGATACGGGTGGAATTTCGTACTCTGCCTCGACGTCCGATGATGAAACTTGTCTGCATTCATCACCTACTTGATACAAGGAGACCCATACAGAGTTCTAACGTCAGAAGATTATTAATTTATTCGCGAATAAACATTATAAATATTTGAAGAAAATACAATCGCATTTTTAATATTGTTTACGTTTAATGTGTACGTACATTGCGAATTACATAACAGCAATAGCCAGTCAATATTCTCGTTGACTACGATTGATTCAAAATCAAACTCGAATTCATATATGTAACCAAATACACTTATGAGCGTCAACAGAAAAGGTGTTAAATTAATTCTCAATTTACATTTACTACCAGTTCGCAAGTGAAGGGCGTCAAGAACTGGCAAGAAAATCTCCACCACTCTTTTAAATCGCAAACTTTTGAGTTACACAAATTGTTTGAACTGGAGCAAATCAATCTCAACAGGATCATTTAAATAATCGTCAAATTTATAAAAAGCTTTTTTGATAAATTTACGTTTGAGAGTTATGAATTTATTCAGTGATAATTCTCTTTCGCTTGGGAGTTTGTTGTAAAAACGAATACAATTTCCATTTAAGGAGTGGTTTATCTTCTGGAGTCTGTTAGGTCGTACGCTTAGATTTGTTCTGTTTCGAGTATTATATTAAAAGTATCCGAAGAGTTATGTTTAACCTAAACTTTAAAAGGGGTTTTCCACATAGATTAATACTGACTACTTACATTCGCTTACAGCCTGTGAGGAAAACGGGAACATACCTGAAAATTAAAAAATATATATATAATACCGAAAAGTCTTCATTCAACATGTTTCAAAGTATAGGTTAAACAAACGGAGAGTCAGCTGAAACTAACATGCTTTTTGTAATTTTCTACTCTAAAATTTGACTAAGTACTACTTCTCCTGAGTGGGTAGCTCATGTCTGAGCGACGTGGTCAGCAAGGAAGCTGGACTATCTGTTTCCACCGGTTTCTGTTCAGCACCTCTCTTGCGACAGTGTTTAGTTTTGAGGTCGATGATTTTTTCACTTGATCGGCCCATCTGGTTGGTGATTTTTTGCCTTCTGTGTTACCAACCACTGTGTTTCAAATCGGGTGGGAAGACACAACCCTCACTGTCAATTACTCAATTTTAAAAATTCTATGTAAGAACTTCGGTTTTAACACCACCTGATCACGTTAAAGCAGTATTTCCCAACCTTTTTGAATTATTCCACATCTTATCCTTTCTAAAATTCTTACCAACCTCCCCCCCCATACCAACATACCCCCCTAACATACATATGTTTTAATATAAAAAAATATTCACTAAGAAACTCTTACTCACTCTCTTGTTAAATGATAGATCTCTACGACACAGTACGTAATTTTCAAAACAAAGTGAAAACCTCAAATACAAATTACAAACATAAAATATTTTCGAATAGCACCTATTAACATGTGGGGCGCGGGTCCCACATTGTGAAATACTGCGCGCATTAAAGCATCCCAATTAGTAGTATCTGTTAATATGACTATAAGTCGCCATGTTCCAGTCGCCCTGGAGAATTATTGTCTGTTTCAATATATAGAATATTGTCTAAAATCGCGCAGCCACGCATCGTTGATCAAATGGGGCGGAACTAATTCTGGCCAATCTCTTACCTCAAGGCCGTTAAGCAGGTGTCACAATACATATTACATAGTTCGGTGTTAGTGTCAAGGGTTTGCAACAATTTTTTTTTTATGATTGGACAATTCACACCAATTGACCTAGTCCCATGCTAAGCTGGTGAAGCTTGTGTTATGGGTACTAGGCAACGGATATACATACAAACTATAGATAGACATATAAATACATATTTAAACACCCAAGACCTAAGCCCAACACCAAATGCTCATCACATCGATGTTTGTCTCAGTCTGGGATCGAACCCGGGATCCATGGATTCGCAGTCAGGGGTACTAACCACTAGACCAATGAGCCGTCACAAAAGCCGTTCCAAATACTGTAATCCCTCCTATAACACGATACATTGGTTTCGCGTTACAGGCGTTGTAGGAGTATTCTCGCATAACGCGCTTGCATGACCCCATACAACGCGTTGTGTAAATAATTCACGTTTAATTTTTCTCGTTAAAAATTTAAATTGAATATTAATAAAACAACTATGTTATGAACAAAATATGTGCGTAAAAATGTCACAGTACAGAAATATAACGTGCGAAATTCCCGCTTACCCGAATAATTATCTTACGCCCGAACCCAATAATTAATCCACAATCTCAGATTGTTTTCAATTCAGACCGTGAAAGTCGATCGATCTCTAATCTGCACCCCAATAACCATTGGGATATAGGGGTTGTATGTTGTATTTCTGTAAGCTGTATCATAAAAAAATAAAACAAAAAAATTATAACAAAATTTTTGGGGTGGACACCCCTTATCACTAAGGGGTTTGAAATATAGTAGCCGATACTCAGACTTACTGAATATGCATAAAAAATTTCATAAGAATCGGTCGAGCCGTTTCGGAGTATGGGAACAAACATTGTGACACGAGAATTTTATATAATATAGAGATGCCGACAGTACAGCATTGCTTATTATTAATATCCTGCCTTCAGATGGGTTTACTAACACAGTAACAGCACTTTTTACAGCTCACCTTCACATTGAACAATGAATAGAATCGTGAAATTCTTAAACTGTTATATCACGACAAATCATTGTTCTAAAAGAATGGTATTATATTTCTTTATACTGTTTCTTAGTAATACATTTAATATTAAACCGACTGATAATACCTGTATCCATTATATATGTCACCGTAAAATTGTAAACACCGTTAGATTGTAATCTATCTCGCGAGATTATGAACTGTCGAAAGATTGTGAACCTCAACATACCGCTGACAATTTAACGTATTATTATTCGGTAGATTGTAATCTATCGAAGTGAAACCGTACAATTTTAAAATTGTCAAATTGTTAACTGTCCGAAGGCTGTCCCTGATTGGTCGGCTTTATAGTACACCGTTCTATGTCCATAGAGTTAGGAATGAAACACGGGTATCAGTCAAATAAACTGAATGCACTTCAAGAATTGTGATATCAAGTATTTATTCATTACTTAGTAGGTAATCAATAATTCTGACATCACACATGTCACATTTACGGTGACATATATATAATATACATTTTAAATATATAAACAAGATCTTAATATAAATTTAGTTCGCTGAGATATTTGCCTAAATGAATATTATTATAATTAAGCCTTTATTGCTGACACCCATATATGGTAACGTACCGTAGTTTGATCCACGACTTTTTGACATTATTGGGCAAGAGAAAAAATTGTTCTACGGGAGGTCCTACAGCTCAACCCCTGTTGAGTTATAATTTATTTTGCGTTTTTATAAGAAAGGTTACTTTTTTTTACTAATCTACATCCTGAATCTTTTTCATAATATCCACTAGATTGGTAATGACGAGTCCTTGCGTTAGACTTGCTAGTTATGGTTGTTTATTGGGTGTATTGAAGATAATAATAAGTTATACGATATAAAATTTTCTACAATCATAACTTTTTGTTTACTTCGGACAGTAAAAATAAATACTCTACCAAAGAGTGAACTTGTATTACAAGTTCACACATGGCCATGAGTGGTTCTAATTTCTTTCTAGGACTAAAAAAGCAAAACGACACTTGTTTAATTGAACCGAACTTAATCTAATACATCAGCTGTTCCTCTTTTGGGGTTCAGCGTGTCCTCTGACACATAGGCCTTTTCTAGCTGCTTCCATTCTTTTCTAAGGTTAGCTTTTCTTGTTCAACTTGTGCCTTCTATTATCTTTATAAAGGCAAGCCGGTTTCCTCACGATGATTTCCTTCACCGTTCGAGCGAATGTTAAATGCGAACATAGACAAATAGCCATAGCCAACAATAGCCATCGGTGAACACCCGTGAAGCCACTAGACTAAGAATTTATACTTTGGTGTAGTAGGATTTAATTGATAAGATAAAAAATACTAAGTATATCTGTTTATATCCACGCATTTCGTTAATCATGCAATAACTATGAATTACAACATACAGTTTAAATCTATTCTATCAAACAAATATAAGTATCACTTGTCTTTCAGCTATACGAATTTATTATTTACACTGTATGCATTACAGAAATCCATAGACATTAAACTATACAACTCCCAACAAACCCAGCGTACTACGCTGCAAAAGCGTCGCGCGCGTTTAATTCTTTTCCACTAACAGAGCTTTGAGCGCCTAAAAGCGCGTCTTAAGTCAAAGGAGAGTGAGTATACATTACTGGCATTGTCGCTGCTCAATAAATAATCACATATAAGATATATTAAGTTTGTTTTACATGCATGATAAGAAGTTTGACGTGCTGTGCATCTGGGTTTTAGCTCGTAAAGTGGTCTGCCAACGTGGTCCATATGGTTTAAAGGTCGGCAACGCACTCGGGAGCTTTCGGGCATTGAGAGTGACCATGTGCGGCGGTATCACTTAACATCAGGAGCGCCTCTACACGCATACTGGGAATAGACATTTGGAACACCCATGTTATCTGGTGCTTCTCTGATGATGGAGCTTGTTACAGTATATATTATACAATAGAACTTTCTACAGGTGTCAACTGGCGTTCCAGACATAACCTACAGCCATCAGTCACCACTTCAGGAGTCAAAACCGTCAGTAACGCGTTATCTAAACTCCTGCGCAAGTATCAAGTAAGTCTCTATCTATGTTGTCTGAATGAAACTGCTTCAGCGGTCTGTAATCATTTGTTTTTAGCCGACTTTAAAACCCAAATGAGCACACATTATCAATTGAATGTGTATTTTTTTTTTATTATTTTAAGCCTATTAAAAGCGATGTATTGAAGTCTGCGCTTGAATTCTATATTTATTATAATAATGTAAGCCATTAGTAATTAATGACTATTAAAGCGATAACTTCAAGGGAACGAAATAAGGGAAACTGAAATTTCATACGAAATTTTAAATGCAGCTGTGATTTTGCTTCGAGAATATGAACGTAGTATTTTTGATAACAGCGTTGCTTTAAAAAAAAGTTTATGCTTTATCAAATAAAACAAATGCAAAGCTTTATCACGTTTCATGATTTGTTTCTATATTAAGTAAACGCCTTTAATTAGTATAATCAAGCGATAATAGGAAATCTATTTATTTATGTGAGGAATTAAAAAGGTTTGGTAGAATCATTCAAAAATCCTCCTGTCTCTATTTAATTTCATTTAAAATTAAGATTTAGTTCAGTTTCATTATATAATTGTAGTTTATTTAATAGTTGGTTCTTTTTATAAATATACTTTAGTCATTTGTTTATATTACATAATAATAATAGTAACATTAAAAATAAAACACTTGCTCTGTTCAATAGCCTTACACATCAACACATTAGAGTTCAAGGTACACTAGATTATTATTTATTTACACTTCGTTACATTTATACAAAAACAAATATCATAAAACATCAAAATAATAAGGTATGCAACGGGCTGAATGCTGCTAAGTTGCAACATATCATTGATATGCAGAAGAAACAGGGTCGGGGATAAAACACAGCCTTGTGGGACCCCAGCGTTTACGGGTTTTAGGTCGGAACATGCTCCGTCGATGACGACCTTGATGCTCCGATCGGCCAGAAAGCTGGAGATCCAATCGCATAATTTCTCGGGTAGCCCATAGGCTGGGAGCTTCGAGAGCAGTGCTCTGTGCCACACCCGATCGAAGGCTTTCGCTATGTCCAAACTAACCGCTAGCGCCTCCCCCTTGGACTCAATTGCCTCTGCCCATCTATGTGTAAGGTATACAAGAAGGCACCAGCCGAACGACCACGACGAAAGCCGTACTGATAATCGCTAATCAGCTGGTGGCCCTCTAGATACCCTAGTAATAATAAAAAAATAAAAATAAATATGATGGGTAAAGTGCAAGAAGTGCATAACCAAATCTTACTAAAAAAATTTATAGAACCTCAGGAATTGTGATGCATTACAAAAGAATAAGAATTACAAAAGTCAAGATTGAGCAGGAGCCACCTTATAAATACGTGTGCTAAATACATTTACAAGTACTAATAGAAACGTAAATTTATCATATTAACATACAAGTTAGCGAGAGATATATATGTTAATAAATCATTTATAGATCAAACTGTGCGCTTCTATAATAAACTACCAAATGATCTGGTTAACTCATCAAATAATAAATTTAAGAAAATTATATAACAGAAGCCCTCTTAGGAAAGCTTTTTATAAAATATCAGATTACCTAGAAGATAAGGAAGCTTGAAATTAAAAACAATATGCTTCGGCTATTTAATTTAATTATAACTAATATAAGCATTCTAAATAACTTAAGATAAAAAAAAAACTTGTGTACAGCCTTGCGATTCTCTAACTCACTTTTCGAACTCACACAGCGGTTTTTGCATCGGCGGTCGCTCTCAAATCAGTCGTGAAGCAGACATTTTATGATTTGGCATTCTGAAAAGGTGGGAGCTTGTAGTTTATTGTTTATACAGAGTTACAGAATCGCAGGGCTGGTCGCGATTCCGAACAGGCGGTAGTGTTGACAATTCAAAGTGATCATATGATTCAAGTGAATAAATGAATTTTGAGTTTGTGTTAAATTTTCCAGTATTTACCCATTTCGTTCACATTACTCGACAAGTGATTGAGCTGCAAATTCGCTATTTTATGCCAAAACCTGTACACACAATAAAAGGTTATAATTTATTCAAAAACGTTGACAATTCATGAATTATTTATTCTGTTAATTTCCACTAATTCGCGTATCGTCTGCCGCCTCGTTAATATACATATTTGTCAAAACAGAAGGTCAATGGTATAAAAAGACTCTACTCCATTGGTCACATGTACATTCTTCCCGAAAAAGGAAACTGTCAGACACGTTATTGTGTTGGACACACAACGAAACTAAAAAAAAGTGCGTGCGTTTCATGTCAGAAGTGAAACTTCTTTGGCAAACGAATTTTTAAGTCTTGTTCATATTTATACAAATCTAAAACTTTAGATTTCCGAGGAGGGAAAAAGGAAGATATGTTAGGAATGTAATGAATTTAATTGTCAAAAAATATTAAGTGTCGAAAATTAATACAAATTATAAATTTATTTTTTATTTATTTCTTCGTAAAAAAGCACGTGGCATTTTAATTTACAATTCGTCATTTGAGATTTCAATAAATTATTTTGCATAAAATTTAAAATACTATATTTCATAAATTCTCTTGACGAAATTTTAATTTTCAAAACAGAATTTCTATAAGGTAATTCACCCTTCTGCCTCTCTCTCTCTCAATCGGTCTCAATCGCTCTCTCCCTTTTCTTCGACAAAAACGCTGCACATCTTCGTGACGTTTCGTAAAAAATTACCCTCATGCGCCTAAAGAAGTTTCACTTCAAAAATCAGTGGCGCTACAACCTTTTTAGGTTTGGCCTTTAGATTTCTGTTTCATGATCATTTGTTAATCTAATAGACAAGTTGGTGATCAGCCTCCTGTTCCTAACTCGACATAATCGACTAAACTTAAGTAATTAATAATAATAAAATTAAAAAACAAAGATTTGTCCTCTATCAGCAGTAGGCATGGTGAAATAGGAGCACGCACTTACATTCTCGTGGGAAAAACACATATATACATTACTAGCTGATGATTCTTGTATTTATTTATTTTAATTCATAAATTATTCCAGGGTGTGTACACAGACTCAACCATTGATGGCACAATGAGAGCATTGGCTTCAGCTACCAAACTTGTGCCCTATGATAGCGCATTATTTCTGGTCACGGACAAGGCACCAGGGGACCCGCAACGACTTCCCTTAGCTCTGAGGGCTTTAGTCGAAAAGAGGCTTAAGGTACGATTACTCTACTGTTTATGGTTCCCGAGTCCAATTGAATATAGAATATTCTTGGTTAAACTTAATATTACGTTCAAAACGATAGATACATCTATAAGTTCGAATTCTTCGCGATTTCAACAAATTGAACACAGCGTATCCAGAGCTGGATATATTCGGTAGTGGGCTGATCGGTTTTAGAGAAAGCATTGTGGGGTGCCTTTCTAGAACCTAATTTCGCTGTTTTTCTGATGATTTTTCTTTTTTTCTGCACATAGTTGTTGAAAATTTTATTTTATTTTATGTTTATGTTAAAAAATTGATTTTATTTTAATGTGTGCTTGCATTGTCGTGTGTGTTTTAGTTGTATTTTTTTTTTTAATTTCTATTTGATTTTTTTACTGAGAAACTTATGCTTGCATTAACTGTCACACATTTTAGATGTGGGATTTTGTGAAATAGTTGGTGGACTTATGACTGTGTGTGATGTTGTGATGTTGTGGGCTTGATAACTAAATAAATAAATATAAATAAATACTGAACTTATTCCAACGTAAATGAAGATGTAAATAGAATCCAATTATTATGTAGAAAAGAGCGTACCAATTCTAAAAAGGCCGTTAACGCACATGCGAGCCTTCTGGCAATGTGAGTGTGCAGCGGCGGTATTACTTAACATCAGATGAGCCTCCTGTCCGTATTCCTCCTATTACATTAAAAAAAGGAACGGATTTTGCAAAATCTAGGATACAAGCCAGCACATCAGATTATTTTAGAAATTTTAATACAGGGTATATCGTATAACTTAATCTTCAATACACTCAATTAACAACTATAAATAGTATGTCTAACGCAAGAACTCATCAGTACCAATCTAGTGGATATTATGAAAAAGATACAGGATGTAGATTTTTTTGAATTTTAATAAGAATTAGTACAAAAAAAGTCAATTTTCTTATAAAACCGCAAAATAAATTATAACTCTGCAGGGCTTAGAGACCTCCCGTAGAACAATTTTTTGCAGCTGACGACCTCATCTATCCCCTATTTGCGTTTGATCCGCGACTTTTTGGCCCTCCTGTATATTTATAATATTTTAAATCGGCCGATCGTCACATTTGATTCACTTACTTTTATGTTTCGCTTGGGTTATGCTAGACACATTTTGAAGTGCATTATATCTTTTCCAATTTTATTTATTTACGCTCTCAATTGTATAATTTCTTAGTAAGTTGTTGTGCGTATAAACTGTTTTAAATTCAAAGTATTCGTTATTATCAGTCTAACTTAACCTTAACTATCAAATTGCCCCATTCTTTATGTTAGGAATATATAGATACGAGATATGTAGTCAGGGCTTATTAGGCCAACACTACTCTAATGTTGAGAAAACTATATAGAAATTGCATCAGGGCGGCGATACCTATTGGAAGTTACCAGCGCAGGGCGAAACCGCTTAGCTCTAATATGTATGGTTATTGGTTAAGCTATAGTTTGAGTAGAGACTTAACTGCTAGTTAATCCCCTAGTGACGTTCGTAGATCATAAAAAAATAAATTGGTCTTCAGGATCGAATACATCAAATTTTTTTAAGTCTAAGGTAATGATTATTTGGCAGGTGTACACTATATGGACGGATCCAAACTATCCAACACCAGAGTCAGAGGCCGCACTGCAAGATCTGAAGAACATATCTTCACATACAGAAGGGGAAGTTCTGCCATATTCATTGCCTATCACCGTAAGTGTTCACACCTTTTGGTATTGCCATATTAAAAACAATTCTTTGCACTTGCCCATGCAATTAGACTGGCTTTGAAACTCTCAAATAGAAATAGGTTAGAAATAGCAGACTAATTGGCTAATTCTAGCTTCGTCCAGCTCAAAAATTTCCTGAGCTGGCTTCAAGAAATAGGTGATACAGTCAAAACTGTTTACGACGACATCGTTTAGAACAACATTCTTAAAAGGCCGGCAACACACTCGCGAGCCCTCTGGCTTTGGGAGTGTCCATGGGCGGCGGTATCACTTAACATCAGGTGAGCCTCCTGCCCGTTTGCCCCCTGTTTTATAAAAAAAAAATATCGATTATATTGAACAAAATTAAAGGGCTGAATTCTATTGTATTAGGAATGAAAACTTTTTAGGATTTTCAGTGAATTTTTCTCTATATAAACCTCAGAGTTCAAGTTATAAGATTTTAATTAACAAATAAAAAATAGGGGTTGATCGTACAGTGATGAAAATTAAGGATTGTATGTATTTTGGTACTTATATCATAAAAAAGACACCCTTAAAATTATAGGCGCACATAGATAGAAATTCCATTGGTGCACAGCCGGGGATCGAACCTACGACTTCAGGGATGAGAGTCGCACGCTGATGTGATACCACTAGGTCAACACTGCTTTTAAACCGGCCATACAAAACAAAAATACACTAACAAAATTACCTTTAATTTTTTTAAACTTATACTAACACAATTAATACTTATTATAAGAAATGTAAACTAAACAATTGTTGGATAGATTAATTAATAAAGCTTTATCCAATATATAAAATTCTCGTGTCACAATGTTCGTTCCCATACTCCTCCGAAACGGCTGGACCGATTCTTATGAATTTTTTTATGCATATTCAATAAGTCTGAGAATCGGCTACTATCATCTATTTTAATAACCCCTAAGCGATAAGGAGAGTCCACCGAAAAAAAAAAATTTTTAGACAAAATTTATTGTTTTAATTTTTTTATGAAACATACAATAATACATACAACCCCTAATTTTCACCCCTCTACAATCAACCCTTATTTTTTATTATTGTAGATAGTTATTATTATTGAAGTAAAAAAATGTGTCCTAGAAATAATATACATGGCAAGACAAGGTTTGGCGGGTCAGCTAGTTAATAATAAAATTAAAGTTACAACTTAGAAAAATCGAAGGTGATGGCGCCTATAATTAAAACAGATAAAAGCCTAAACCAAAGGAATGCAGTTTTCACACAGTAACGTAATGATAAATAAATTGTTTATTTATAGATCATTAATTGACAAAATAAAACACTTGACCTTAAAGTCTGGTTATCTTGAATTTATTTTTAAAGGAAGCACTACCCGTTGAACCACTTTGCGATAAAGCAACGAACTATAATATCCGAGAAAGAATAATCCCACGGACTTGAATGTTATGAATAAAATATTTGTTTAATATATAAAATTCTCGTGTCACAATGTTCGTTCCCATACTGCTCCGAAACGGCTCGACCGATTCTTATGAAATTTTGTATGCATATTCAGTAAGTCTGTGAATCGGCTATAATCGGCTACTATCTATCTTTCAAACCCCTAGTGATAAGGGGTGTTCACCCCAAAATTTATTTTTTATTTTTTATGATACAGAATACAAAAATACATACAACCCCTATTTTTCACCCCTCTACGACCAACCCCTATTTTTTATTATTGTAGATAGTTACTTTTATTGAAATAAAAAAATGTTTCCTAGAAATAATATACATGGCAAAACAACGTTTGCCGGGTCTATACTTACTTATATTTTTAAATATATTTATATTTATTAAAATGTACCTAGAAGCGAAAACTAACAGGTCCAACTCTTAACTTCAATAAAAGTAATACAGTAACAATATATAGAATACTGCATGTTGTTAATTAATTTCCCCACTTATTCCAGGACATAGACACATCACTTCTGGCCGAGCTCCAACAGTGGAATCCACTAGAAGATCAGCCTAGAAGGGGTAGAGTCAAGAAATACCCTAGCTATGACGATTTCGATGTAAGTTTTAGAGAAGCTTTTCGGATTACTACCTGCAGATGTGTTTCATTGTCGGACGCGGTTAGGTTACCCCCTTCAATAACTGAGCGTTTATTAAAGCAGTTTTAGCCGCGCACCGCTACTATGTGGAACCAGCTGCCCACTGAAGTATTTCCGAACCAATTCGACTTAGGGTCCTTCAAGAAAAGAGCGAACCAATTCTTAAAAGGCAACGGACTCGCGAGCCTTCTAGCATTGCATTGTTAAATAAAAAAAGTAACTTATCTAAATTCACTTATTATTTACCCAGTTGAAAGAGATATAACCACTTCATAAAAAAATAAATTGTGCGTGTACTAGGTGTACACACGTAAGAAGTGAAACTTCTTTATGATCTTATTTTTCGAAAAATGATCTACTATATGCAACTTTACAGAAATTCGTTAAATTAGATAAAGTTTAACAAAAGGCTTTTATTACCATAGACATGAATAAAAATATTTCATTTTATCTTATTACTACGAAGATTATTATAGAATTTCATTAATTGTAATAGAATTATTACTATCATTGAAAAACGTGACGATTTGCTACAAAATTTCTCCCATACGTCGATAAAGAAGTTTCATTCCAACGCCGATAAAGAAGTTTGACTTCAAAAAGCAACATGGCGCGTAACAGAAAAATGTGACGCGTAACGAAAAAATGTTACACTAAATTTTTTTCCAACCTCGATAAAGAAGTTTCACTTCAAAAACTTTAAAAAGTGTGTTAAATACTAATAAAAAAAATCTGTTTTTGACATTAAAATATAAATATTTCCTTTATTAATAACAATCAGTCAATCAGTTAATACTTAACGCTAAATATGTCAAAAGATTTTGACATATGGGACAGTTCCCGCTTAACTCTGACTCTCCACATCGGAAACATACTAGCATAGGCGTTTGTAAATTAACGCGATTATATGCACAAGTAATAAAAATAAAATAAATCAGTGGCGCTACGACGTCTTTTAGGTCTGGGCCTCAGATTTCTGAATCTGTTTCATGACCATTTTTCAATCTAATCGGCAAGTAGCAGCCTCCTGTGCCTGACACACGCCGTCGACTTTTTGGGTCCAAGACATGTCGGTTTCCTCACGATGTTTTCCTTCATCGTTCGAGCGAATGTTAGATGCGCACATAGATAGAAATTCCATTGGTGCACAGCCGGGAATCGAACCTACGACCTCAGGGATAAGAGTCGCACGCTGAAGCCACTAGGCCAACAACACTCTATGCACAAGTAATACCGTAACAAATAATTTTTCAGACTCTCGTGATGAGGAAAGGAGGGGGCGAATCTATATCTTTAGGGATACCAGTGGAAAACGGGGTCACATCACTGAAGATATACTTAGAAGGTGCCATCGAACACGCAGTATTGTATCCACCCAATGACGGTACATATCATGAACATACATTAATTATCGTATTAAATCATGATAAACATTATTATTTCGAAAAATTATGTTAATATACTGTTCTTGGATATTCTTGATTCAGTGTCTTAAATCAAAAGTCAAGATAATATCCTTGCCTTTTACGCTACTTTTAAACTATCTAGATTCTAATAACCTCAAAACACGTATGAAGGTTAAAATATCAGGGTTATGGCCATGCCATATATAGCAAGTTATAAAAGCCGGTGATTATGTCCATATATGGGTTATTGCATTTTTATCAATTAGTTTGAATGTCATGGCTCTGGACTACTCTTTAGCCTTTTTATTCTGTTAAAATAAACTTAGGGGCTTGTTAGCTTCTCTTGCTACAGGTATCCACGTACAGTTGTAAGCAGTTCATTATAACAGATTCGCCAGCTCGTTTTCCCTCTGCCTCCACTCCCCCCTATTTATAAAGACACAACAATTTTGAAATCAATATTCAGCCTGAAATTGTGCTCACGTAGCCTTTTAAAACATGTCAATCTATCAAATCAATCAATCAATTTATTCAGTTTAGATGTGTCTTAGGGCATGCTTATGTTATATATGCTTGCTTATGCATATTAGTGTATATCCAACATAGGGCCTATTAAAAATTTGTATGATCCAGGATGGCCTGGAGTCTCCAGTCCGTTAAGCAGCAATCTTATGCTGCATTACACGCTCACAGAAAAAGTGCTCTTGTTGTCAGCCTGCACTTCATTCGATTTTAAAATTCCAGGTCCTCAGATCGACCTGTACAACGCATCATCTATCCGTGCTTTCTCAGCTGCCTCCAGATCTGAAGGATTATCACCAAGAGAGGTTTTCTTGGTATTTCCGAGGATGGCGCCTGATGAGAGCATGTAAGTGGTATAATTATATAATAAAAAACGAGAGAATTATTTTTTGCGTGTTAAACGACGAAATAATGTTTTCAGAGAATAGTTAAAAAAATATTTAAATTCAACTTTTAAGTCACCAAGAGCCGACAACATATATATATATATATATATATATATATTAATACTAGCTGCCCCCGCCAACTTCGTTTCTCGTTAATGTGATTTTACATAGCCTACAGCCAATATTTAGCTAGGCTACCCCAAAGACTGCGGTTTTCTGGAATAATTTTTTTTTAAAGTTTTTCTGTTAATATTTCTCTATATAAACCTCAGAGTTCAAGTCATAATATTTCAATTAACAAATAAAAATAGGGGTTGATCGTAGAGGGATGAAAATTAAGGGTTGTATTTTTAATGCCACATAATAAAAAAAGTAAAAATTAATCCAAATTTTTTTTTTTGGTAGGCACTCCTTATCACTTAGGGGATTGAAAGAAAGACAGTAGCCAATTCTCAGACTTGCTGAATATGCATACAAAATTTCATAAGAATCGGTCGAGCCGTTTCGGAGGAGTATGGGAACGAACCTAGTGACATGAAAATTATATATTATATTATATATTACGTAGATAATATTACCAGTATTTTGTCACATCAATGCCAATCCGTTCAGATATCTTAATAGAACAAGCTTTGCCGAACCAGTTATTAGTTTATTAAAACATTTATCACACCCTCCAAGCAATAAAATCTCTCATATTCCAGGCTATCAGTTCTACCAGTGTATCCAGCAGAGGACCAAGCAATGGTCGGCCTCTGGCACCTAAGCGTCAAATGTGACCTCTGCGATTACAGATTGCGGGTAGCTGCAAAATCACACTTGCATTTTAACGTCGACGTTGTTGAGGGTAAGTCACGATTTTTTCACAACCAGTGCTAAAGAATCTTGTGTTCATTTGTGTGTTAACAGAACCTTCGATCAATTTTCTTTAGTCTTTTCACTATAATACATAATTTGGTTTTTCGAACAAATTGTATATATTTATTTATTAATGTTTACCACATAATATAATGCGATATCTACAGTACATGTTCAAGCTATCTTTTTTTAATGTACATGATAATTATTACATAAATGTTACAAAAATAAAAGTTTCATTTCCAATTTTAGATTTTACTAGATATATTTTGCTTATTGTTAAAAAAGCAAGCCTTAACATTTTTTTTTTTAATTTATCAGCCCACCACCAAATACATCAAGCTCTGGATAAGTAGTTTATAGTTAAAAGAAAAGAATCTGACATAGAAATACATTGTGTAGGTACATATATTACAATCAAAAATATATATAGAAATGTGTCCTTAAATAAGATATAAAGAAACCAGACTATACAAAATTACGTACCACCAAAACTTTAAACATAAGACAGTGATTGATGCTTACAAAGCGGAACTTAGGTTCATTGACCTTTATTATCATAAACACGTGTTTAACTACGAAGCGAACAGCGTCTCATTAAATCAAGATAATGAAACAAACAATAATAAAAAATTCACGAAATATAAAGCGTCGTATACTACCTTGACTCGTTTAAGCTATCGCGGAATATGCTTAAAAGGTGTAATAAGAATATCCATATCGCTAAATTTCCTGCATCGCCCCCATACACACATTTTTTCACCCCATTATTCAACACAGCCGAATTAGGTAATACTTAGTTAAAGGTACCTATTTAATAATTTTTATAGAATTTTTACTTACTGCTCCTGCGAACTTTGTTTCGCCTTAATATATATATCAACATAGAATTCGCTTTTCCGGAATACAAAACTAAATTCTTTTTTGTATATTTTTTAAATTTTTATATAATATATATAAATAAAAACCTTCCTCAGAGTTCAAAGAGTAAATTAAAATACTTGTTCAAGTATTTTTAATTTATTTAGCAAAACTCGAGTTTTGCTCTTAGTAACATATTTTGCGATTCATTTTTATTTTGGCTATATCTTTAGTATACATAATTGTTTTTTGTTATATATAATATATATATAATTTATGTTAGCTGTAAGATTACCAATTAAATATTTAAAAAAGCCCTACTCTCGCGTTATTATAGAATATCAGATCAACTCTTTTGGGATTTAAATTAATTAAATAAAGCAGTATAAAAAGGAAATGATCTTCAAGTTCATAGCCTTCTCATTAATAGCACTTGTGTATCAGTTAATTGCTGTCTCTTTTAGCCATAGTCTAACAGAAAGAGAGTACTATGCTTTTATCAAGTAATACTAAACAGGCATATCAATTAAAAATTTAAAATATATTATTAAACATTCCGAAATTTTGTCGTAATCTTTTCACATTAAATCCACACCGATATTATAGGAATCAAATTAAACCGGTTTTAAATAAAAACGAATGCAAAAAACAATCATAATAAAACACGACAACTGACTCTTCGGGTTTATATATGTATTATGTTTGATACGATTTATGTAACCTGGCCTGCGATTCTGTAACTCACTTCACGAACTCACACAGCGGGTCGCTCTCAAATCAGTCGTGAAGCAGTAATTTTTGAATTGGCATTCTGAAAAAGTGTGAGCTTGTAGTTTATTGTTAATCAGAATGCCAAATCATAAAATGACTGCTTCACGACTGATTTGAGAGCGACCGCCGATGCGAAAATCGCTGTGTGAGTACGTGAAGTGAGTTACAGAATCGCAGGGCAGGCCTCAGACGTCGCAAAAGAAAATAAATTGAAATTGTCAAATTGAATTTCCATGTAAATAAAATATGTTTAATAACAGATATGCACATTGAATGACATGAAAGTGGATTATGCGAGAGAAGTATATAATATACTTATGTATGTATATTATATACTTGCAAGGGGAGAACCATGGTCTCTGCTTAACTCTTTGGAATAATAAAGGCGTTAATATATAAAGAAATTGTATATAAAGTAGTGGCGGACAGAGCGTTTACGTGATTATTAGTCACAAAACTAAACATACAAAATATTTATAACGATTTTTTTAAGCAAATAAATCAATCAGTTTTAATTTATAAGTCAAATGTACATACATACCCGAAACCCATTACAATGCAAACTATTTTAAGTGTATTAACTATATCTACATCGCAATAAAGACTTCACAAAATGTATATACACTCGGCGTCAAAAAAATCGCACCTTTCCTAAAATTCGTGTCAAGCGATTATAACTCCGAAGATCCTTCCTGTACCCTATCATTATTAATATCATTTGAAAGCTAATGAAATCCCTTATTTGAAAACGGAAAATAGGAAATTGGCCACCACCCCCATAAAAAAAGAAAATTCTGGGAAAATGTGAAACAATGTGTATTCTGATCAAAATTACAAAGAAAAGAAACAATACAAAAATTAAAAATAAACAATAACAATCCTTAAAAATTAGTCTTAAAACTTAGTGTTGCCTCCTCTAGCCCTCCGACCAGCTTCCAAGCGGTCAGTCATGGACCTGATGAGCATCACGACGTGTTCCTGGGGAATTTTGTCCCACTCCTCGATGACGGCATCTCGAAACTCATCGAGAGTGGCAGGATTACGGGCCTGCACTCGCCGTTTCAGCTCGTCCCAGAGGTGCTCGATAGGATTGAGGTTGGGGCTTCTTGCTGGCCAGTCCATAACCTTGATGTCAACTCGACGTAGGTAGTCCTTGACAATCAAGGCTGTGTGGCACCGGGCATAGTCGTGCATGAACTCGAAGTTGGCACCGACAAAACCTGCACATGGGACCACATGCTCCTCCAAAATCTCGGTGATATACCGGTAGACAGTCAGAGACCCCTCGCCGCGACCATCTCCAGCTCTGGAAACGCACACGAGCTCTGTCTTGCCGTCGATAGAAATGCCGCCTTAGAACATACAGGATCCTCTTCCATACCCAACGGTTTCCACGGTGCAGGGTGGTGTGAAACGCTCTCCTGATCGCCTGTAGACTCTCTTACGCAAGTCGTTGGTATACAGGCACACTCGGGTTTCGTCGGAGAACAGGACATTCCTCCACTGGTCGAATGTCCACGGCACGTGCGTTTCCTAAAATCGCATAATGTTCGTCCGGTGGATGGCAGTCAATTGGGGGCCTGTAGCAGCTTTCCGGAGCAGCAAAAATTCTTCTCACGCAGCCTTCTTCTGATAGTGGAGACGCTGTCTGCTGTCCTTCGAATAGCTTGAAGCCGCTGCTGCAGCTCTACAGCGTTGGAGAAGCGGTTCCCCAAAGACGTCGACACAATGTAGCGATCATCTCTGACGGTAGTGCAGCGATGTCTCCCGGATCCATGTCTCCTGATGTAACCTCCAGTCTCTTGGAACCGTTGGTATACCTGTTGCACTCGAAATCGGCTGATTTTCAGTTGCCGAGCAACTTCAACCTGCCGTAGTCCGGTTTGCAGTAGGGCCACCACTTGAGCTGCTTCTTCTGCCATGGTATCCATTTTCACTGGGTTTTTTCTTGTCGAAGCTCTTCAGGTGTGACCTCTGTGACGTCTGAGTAGCGAATAACCCGTAATTGACTTTTACCCCCTCGTTTTATACGCGTCCAGGGTGGTACAATTAGTGAGCCTCCAAACGCGTACATTGCCACTTTTTAATCAAAGTGCTGGCGATTTGTGGTTTTTAATTTTCCGTAAACAAATGATTATGTTTTTGAAAGCTTATTAGTTGAGCTTTTAAATGATACTAATAATGATAGGGTACAGGAAGTATCTTAGAAGTTATAATCGCTTGACAAGAATTTTAAGAAAGGTGCGATTTTTTTGACGCCAAGTGTATAATATATTTTGTTATCTAGCTCCATAAGACACAAGGTAGAAGGCTATATTGATATGCTCATAACAAAATATAATATACACGATAATATTATAAGATTTGTAAATAACAACAACATTGCCTTATATTGAACATTTAACGCCATCTAGTGATGCTCCATAGTAATTGGCTTTGAGTTAATCTTTGACATGACTTTGACAAGACATTAAACGCTGACATATGTCAAATTATGCATTAGCATTACAAATGTTATCTAATTCCAGAAAGTGAAAGTCTTAAGACATAAAATCACTGGTTTAGGGAGCGTTCAAGTATTACGTCACGCAATTTTGCACCCCCCCATGTAACGCGCCGTAACGTTTTTGTGTATGTGTAGTGACTCTTTATACCTAAAAGTTACCATTATGTGGTGTACAGTACTGCAAAGTCGAAAATAATATTAAAAATAACGCGTAATTCAATTCCCGCCCCGCATCGTAACGTTTTACAAGAGGACCCCCCCACCAATTCGTTACATAATACTTGAACTCTCTTTTAATGGTCAAACATCAATTACACAACACAAACATGCAAAATAAAGAAAATATTAACCTTTAATCTCACGTTGACTTCATCCCAAAATGGCGACGCACTTCAACTGGGTCATTTAATTATGTAATCGAAATTACAAGGTTATACACGCGATTTAACTTCACAGCTGTTATGGTCCAGCAGTAAAGTCATTACGTGAATCTATCCAGCACACAAAAAAACATACAGTCCGTCCTATTTGATTTGAGTAATTCCTTTTTACGCAATACAACAGTACTTCGAAAAAACAATCGCCAATCCAAGCCACTTCAAACACCCAATGATATCATTTTAGGGTCCAATTATAAACGTCTAAATTACATAGTAAAGAATACATCTCTAAATTGACAAAATTGACTATCTCTGCTTTTAACGTATTGTGTGATAGAGTCAGAAATATGTAGGCTAAGTTGTCTTGCCAAGAATTAGGACTTAGATTCAGTGACAAGTCTAAGCGTCTCTTAAAATTGAATAATCAAAATCAAACAACCTTAATTGGTACTTATGAACAGAGTCGAGATTTAGCACTAAGTAAATATAAGTTCCCGGCGTTGTAAGTGTCCATGGGCGGCAGTTAGCACTTTGTTCAGTACCTGTACGATTGCCTCCAGTCTTTGTTTTACTTCTGAATCATAGTCTAGACACACCACACTGTATACACACAATAATTTTTTAAATTAATTCAAATAACTTCTCGAATTATATCGAAGGTTGTAACACTCGAGTGTCCCGCGTTAACGCGATTAGAATACTGAGTATCATTTGAACCTAATGTCATGACTGATAAGAAACTAATGAATCAAATTGATAGTTAAATTCATTATGTAACGGATATATACGAGGATTTATCACCACTCATAATATATAGAACAAAGATTCTGGTTAAAAATAATCGTTCACCATTAGAATCCTACGGTATCCCTGATGAAGATAGGCTATTGAATATTTTCTAAAGTTTGGGATATGTATGAAACTATGATAATGTAATCGTGAGAAAAATACAAATCAAAATCGCGTACGCTAATGAAACTGTTGACAATAGAGCAAAGTGATGTACTACAGTTTTATAGAAGACATCAATATTTACAAAATTCCACGATACCATAGGTATAACAAAATATTATTTCTGCATTTAAAAGCCTATTTTAAAACCTTTAGGATTTAGAACATCGTACTACGTATGAATACGGGTGAAACCACAGAGCATAGCTATTTATTTATACAACTCTAGTTGACAGTAGACACATTAAATGACAGTTTCGGGACTCACTCAAAGAGTAAGATTCGACAAGACGAAGTATTTCATAATCAAACATATATTTACTTATGTTGTATTATGTAATAGGAGACAAACGGGCAGGAGGCTCACCTTAAGTGATACCGCCGCCCATGGACACTTACATTGCCAGAAAGCTCGCAAGAGCGTTGCCGGCCATTCAAGAATTGGTACGCTCTTTTCTAATACCCTAAGTCGAATTAGTTCGGAAATACTTCAGTGGGCAGCTGGTTCCACATAGTGGTGGTGCCCGGCAAAAACTGCCTTAGTAAACGCTCAGTTGTGGAACGACGGACGATTCTAACATTAACCTCTGGCTTAGGTTATCTCAGCGTACTAACACAACATTATTTCCGTCACAATACATTTATAATGTAGGAATAATTGAAATACCATCTCATAACTTTTTCTTTCTTGGCGAATACTTCAAGGATCTACGTGTCTATGTGCTTAGCTCCTTCTCTTCCTTTAAATCTCTACTGTACAAGCATTACATGTCCACATCGTATCTCTAACTTCCGTCCTAACTGCCTTGCGATTCTGTAACTCACTTTTCGAACAGCGGTTTTTGGCAGCGGCGGTCGCGCTCAAATCAATCATTTTATGATTTGGCATTCTGATAAGAAGGGAGCTTGTGGGTCATCAGAATGCCAAATCATAAAATGACTGATTCACGACTGATTTGAGCGCGACCGCCGCGCCGCTGCGAAAACCGCTGTGTGAGTTCGAAAAGTGAGTTACAGAAGCGTAAGGCTGATCTGAAATTATCGTGTTTCATTTGTCGTTTTTTATTTTTACCCCTTTTTATTTTTGCTCCATTAGTTTTGTTTAAGTAACTTTATATCTTAAGCAGTTTTGCACATCTTGCGCTCACCTTATATAATTTTCGCAATTTTACTTCTTTTGGCGCGTTAGGGAAAACAATGAGAGTAAATTTTTACGATACGCGCGCACATCGTCACAAAAAACCGACACCCCGAAGTTAGCTATAGTCAACATTTTAGGTTTTTCTATTGTTAGTATCGTTTATTCTACAAACGTAGAACATTTTTGAACAGATTATTATCTTGTTACGCCAAAGAAGTATAACTTATTGTATGTGAGTACACACAAGTTTTTTTTCTTACAAAGATGGCCGCCAGTAGCCCTAGTTTTTATTAAACTATTTCTTTGTACTGTATTTCTGTACAGCAACGAAGTGTAAATAAATAAAAAATATATTGTAGTGTCAGTACCTAGTGACATAGGTAAACTATTTGCGATAACTTAAAAAAATATTGTTGCCCTAATAGTATGTCCGTGCGTTTGTATTATTAAATGTAGCTCGTACGGGTTACAACCCCCCCTTCTATTACGAAGATTTATGATTCAGAAACGATTTCATATGCCCAATACGTTTTTTAACATGCGTTAAAATCTGTGACATCAGTGTGTCAACTGGCTGTGGCATATACAGTGTAAACTCTTTATAACATCCCTCGTTATAACGAAAAACTCTCTATTACCTAAAAATGAGTTACATTTGTTTGGTTTAACACAAAACCCATATATTAATTCACTCTTTATAACGTACTCCAACATACTTATAAGACCCGCACGTTAATATTGCGATGGAACCTTGTCACAATAACAGCTGCGTGACGTCATCCACCGCAGAAAAGTACAGACAGCAAATAAGTTAATAATAATAATATTCATTTATTTGCCTCAATGTTTCACGAGCACGGCTGTTAATTACTTTCTTGCTCATTTTAATAGGATTAGTATGATAACAAAACTAAACAACAAAAATAAAACAGGATAACGCAAATAAAAAGCAAAAAAAAACAGGTGGTAGATATACTTAATACGCGTAAGCGCTGACTGACCTTGCGTACGGTACTGAGACTAAAGTTCGACTACGTCACTAAGATGGCCGCCAGTCGCAATATCAACGTGCGGGACTTATAAGTGTAATTGTTTTTATAATCAGCTTACAAAACTAACCTATTGAGGTGACAAAATTTCTAAGAAAGACACCTGAGCCGCCTCGCCTTTGAGTACATTGCCTGTAGGAAATTTTGGTTTCAGTTATTAAACGCACCATCGTCACCTATCTACTATATTATTATTATTGTAATTGGTTAAATTTGTTTTCTTTCTATTCTCTCCGTAACGAAACCTCTCTATAACGAAAATAAATGCTCGGTCCTTTGAAATTCGTTATAAAGCGTTTCCACTATATGTGTATTGTGTAATGAATAAGACAGTAAAATTTTGTATTACAGACATGCTGAAACTCAAAATAACGGGACCAGTTGCGAGCATCCGCGACACGTTAGTAATAGACGAATACGGAACAGAACTAGCCAAACTTCCATTTAGGTAAGTTATTTCGATATACAGCACAGTTTCCCAACAGGCCCCCTAGTGGGGCACGGGGCCCGAAAGATTGGGGTTCATGTTTGTAAGGGGCCGTTCAAGTATTACGTAAGCACTATATGGGGGAGGGGTTTCTTTGATTTTCTTATTAGGTAATTACGTCAACAGTAATTATTTACTTTTTTAAACATATTACCCACACATTATCTATGATAAAAGCGAAATGCAGATTGAGGATTCCTACAAAAAAATTATACGTTTATGTACCTATACTATTATTTTTGAGAGCTTTGCTTAGTTTTGCTGACATTTGGGGGAAATAAGTTAATCTGCTTACGTAGTAACACTTGAACGGCCCCTAAATGTTTCGAAAATTAACTTATTGTTTCGTTAAGAATTTCCTCCTTTCCATTTAAGTGGGGGGTTTGATAAGAATTTTAGAAAGACTTAGTGGCACCAACACTGATATATGAACGTGTGGATAAACCACCCGTTGTCTGTTCGTAACCCAAGACCCAGAACCTAAGAACAGACTGGCACATTGCCAGAAAGCTCGCAAGTTCGTTGCTGCCTTTTAACTTGTATCTAAATTATTATTCCAATTCATTTTCATAGTAATAATAAAAACTTCAATCGATTTCAAATTTCCAATGTTTTTTTCCAAATTTTTTAATCAAATCGTACTTTCCATGCTTTCAGCTATCAACCAATAGCGGAGACGGACAAACAAACAGACATATTTGGTGAATTAGGTATACCCAGCGTATCCAGCTCTAATATTTACGTCAGAATCCTTGGAAGGGACATCAAAGGTAACTAACTAGTTAATAAAATAAATATTTTTTTTTGTGAGCCCTCCATACCGCCCATTTGAGCTCACCGGGGGTCGCACTAGGCATTTCAACCCAGGAATACACAGGCGGGTAGAATGTTGAATTGCTAACCACTAGCAATTACCAGCCTCCGCTTAGGATATACTATTATACCTATATATCCTGAACTTCACAGTCTATTTTATAGGTAGCATTACTCAATGCTTGTCATATAAATGCGACCGCGCCCTTCATGTACGGTTTAAGCACTCGCCTGGTACTGCAAAACCCTCCCAAAGAACGGAAACAAATTTAAATTAAAAAAAAAATTGCGCTCCGACCGGGAATCGAACCCGATACCCCTCACCTAGCGGATTAATAAGACCGCTAGGCTATGAGGCCCGATAGTTTAATAAATACTAAGCTAGCCGAGTCCAACCTTTGTGAGTGTCATAAACTGAATATTAGCCCGAAAGAATTTATTTCCCCGGCCGCGTGTGTGTTATGTCACTAGCATATATTGATTCTTGAGAAAGGCTTATACATTATACGTAGTTAATTGACAGAAAAATTAATATTATTATCGCAAAACATTGGCAAAAAGCACAAAATCGCCGTGTCATAGTCCTTTTTAAAGGGAAAAAAATATATTAATTACGGCTAGTAGTGGTAGTTAGTGATCTGCTACATTGTTTTTTATAACACGATGCGCTTATTTTATTATAGTATTGTAGTTTTATGTTTTTTTTTTGTTATTAATAATACTCTACTCCCCTGCAATTGTGTCCAGGGGCTTTTTCTATCTTTTAAATAAAAAAAAATAAAGATACATTATTGTTAGCGGACTAACGCCATCTTGTAGCAGAAATCTATATAAAGCGTGGCAACACCGGCGTTGACTCACTTTTATTTCGAGACTTCGTGCGAACTGACTTGTGACTAACCTAACCTCAGTAGATTTTAAAAGTCTAAAGTACCTACACGTTCTAATCTTTTGTGTTTACTAATATTATATTAATTACAATAAACGTTCACGAATGGTGTGTTACGCGTCTCGCTAAATACGCCCCTACATCGGTAATATTTTTTTTAGGTTCATTAAGTTTTTTGTTTTTTATATTTTAGTTTTATGTTCTAGGTACATAGTCTTCACATGTACAAACTATTTTAAAACTTCCCTTCATATAAAACTACCTTTTGGAAGGGGAAACCAGTGTTTATTTTTTTATATTTTTAACATGTAATTTTGACTTTCAAAAGTGGCCTTTTAATAGGCCTTATTGAAATTAAATTATGTAATTTCCAGGAGAACCATTCACAAGATTATCGGGGCCCATCCACAAGCAGACAGAGGTTCGCCTGGGAAGATCAGCGTCCATCGTCTTTCCGGAGACGCCAAACGATTTAGAACAAGCCGAGGAAATTGATTCTGTCATCTACCAGAACAGACCGATTGGCAGATCTATGTCACAGGTATATCCGCACAATTACCAATTTTAAAACCTTTAAAAGGCCTGTAACGCACTTTTGAGCCTACTGTTAGTGTCCATAGGCGGCGCTGTCATTTAACCAGGAATGCATTCAACCGATTGATTTCCTTTTAACCTTTTTTTTGTACATACTACGTTTGATAACGCGAATTAATATTTGGATTAAAGAATCTATTGAATATCATTTTTTAATCTTTCTTTCTGCAGCACCAGATTATGTCTTTATCTGTTCCACAATATTTAGGTGTATTAATTTAGTTGACAAATTAAAAAGGTCAACGTACCTTTTTCATTACACGTTAAGTAAACTATCAAAAGTTGTATTATTTGTAAGTGGCTATAGTAGTTAGTTAATTTCTTGTATTTTTTAATATGTAATTATGCTTTCCCAAAACGTCTGTAAATTTTATTCACTTATTGTGGACTCTTATTAATTTAGGGTCGCCTGTGGAGTGTTTATTATTAATAAATAAAATAAATAATAATGTATAACTTTTACAACATAATTCTTGGAGAACTCTCTCTGGCTCATATATAGATATTATATGTAAATAATAATAATAAAACCTGATTATTTCCGATCTATACCGATCAAAGATCAATATACTGTTATCCTAACTTCCTTCAGTACCATCGGTCGGAACCCCTTCAGGCCTCCTCCAGCTATTTCCACATTTCTCCATTCGCCTCCTGATAACGCATTCTATACCTTCTATCCACCTGTTTTAGAGCACCCTCTTCTCTTCCCTTTGTCTTTCCATATAGTATTTAAAGACAAAGAGGTTATATGTATATGGTTAATCATATTTTTATGATTATTTCACTTTTTACTCTTAAATCTGTAGTTCTATGTACTGTGGTATAAGAGGTACCTTTTGTAGTGTTTTGGGGCAGTTCAAGTAAGCAGATTTACTGCAATTTATCCCCCCCCCTCCTCTTGTCAGCAACAGTAACCAAAGCTCTCAAAAATAATTGTATATATAAATTTTTTGTAGGAATCTTGAAAATGCATTTCGTTTTTAAGGATAGACAATGTGTGGGTAATATGTGTAATAAAAGTAAATCATTACTGTTGACGTAATCACCAAACAAGAAAATCAAAGACACACCCCTATAGTGCTTACTTGAACGGCCCCTTTCTATAACCTTAGTTAATTTATATTTAAACAATATAAACATTCTGAATATATGTAATCGCCATTAGACCGTTTAAGTACCTCAACCAGGCCATGAACTACCAAGCTATAGAATATAATTATGAGAAAAAAATTACAGTTACTAAATCAAAGTGGCGTGGTTTTAACAACAGTACAAGTTGGGCTCAGTTCAAGACTCTACGGATCACCTGGAGATAGACTGCAGGTAATTTCAATTTATTAAACTTTACCACATAATACTATATCAACAGTATATTATGTTACAAGCGACCTATTCTATAATGATAATTATGGTAATCATAAATGTTACAATATTGATAAAATAAAAATAAAACGACAGGTTGCACTCCGGGAGTGCCGGCAGAAGTGAAAACTTGAATATTAACGTTGTGCATATTTGATATTTTGGAATGGTTAGGGAATAATTTTGCACGAATTGCTTTAATTAATTATCAGTATAAAAGTACTATCATTTATGTGGTAGAATACAATATTTATTTATTGCCCTATCGTACACAAACATGACAATTTATATTACAATAAATACGCCGCGCCAGCTGTCTACTCTCCATCCGTCTTACGAAGTTTCGATCAGGTCACGTGTCCTGACGCGAGTTTAACATTTTTTACCCATTCCAAAAAAAGTGTACAACGCCGCTAAAGAAGTTTTCACTTCAAAAAATACATTAAAAATTACTAACAAAACAACGGATAAGGCATCAGAATAGCACTTAACAATGCTTTTTTTAATACCAGTTATCATCCCCCTAAAGAATATGTTAAGCTCTGGATAGGTTGTGTTTATTCTATTATATTTGCGAAGAATTACAATGGGTGTGCCTGAAATCTTAGGTTGGTCTTTGCAGACGGAATTTGGAAAATTCTGCTGATCTCTGGACAAACAAAACAAAAATTCCATCATCCTTTAAATAAGATGTTTATTATGGAACATAAGATACAGGTATCACTTATTCCACGTCATTAAATTTGAATCGGTAGACATTGTAGGCCGAGAGAAAAAGCCGGCGTAAAAAAACTCTCGGAACCCTTTTGAAATAGCAAATCATCAAGCAACACTTATTTTAAAACAAATATCGCAAATTAATTAGAAGTAGCCTGTCTAGCACTAGTCCCAGGCCCTTTTATCAACTAGATTATCGTTAACTTTATAGTAAGCCTTTTTACACAGCTTTTCTTTAATACATTTCTTAAATGTATTAAAAGGCAGAGATAAAACAGCCTCTGGGATTTTATTAAAGAAGAGTATCCCTTTTCCCAAAAAAAGAAGTACAAACTTTAACCATATGATATCCTGCTGAATCGTGACTTTTGTAATTCTTGTATTTCATAATATTTTGTATTGCATCGCAACTCATGAATCCGTTTTTTTTTTTTATATTTCTTTTTTTACTGTTTTTCCTTTCCATGGTTGTTGGAAGAGATCGCTTGTTAGCCATAAGGCCGCCCGTTGCATCCCTTATAATTTCTACGTATTATGTTATTTGTATTTCTAAAAATGTAACGAAGTGTAAATAAATAATTCCTAATTTAGGCTGAAAATGGTAATGAACAAAAAATACTGGTATTATTGTGAAAAAGCGTGGGTTGCTCGATAGACGAAAAATATGGCACAGAGCGCCCCACGCTTTTTCACAATAATACCAGTATTTTTGTTCATTACCATTTTCAGCCTAAATTAGGAATTATTTTTCACTTTTTAGTTTGATGTGCTTTAAAAGCGTGTTTTTTAGTTTTTTTAAACAATATTTATTTTCCACTTTTTAGTCCTAGCAGCAAAACGTGTTGTCTCAATTTAATCGTATTGCTTTGTGGACTTAAATAAAATTTCATTGTATTTTCGAACCTATGAAATTATTATATTGTCGCTGATTCTTTATAAGTGTACAAAGTTTGAATTAAATCTGTCCGTTTAAAGTGGGTCAAAATCGAGTCCGAAGGAGTCGGTTACATACATACATACAGGTGAAGCTAATATAAAGCGTGTAATAAAAATAACGAAAATAATGTAACAACATTTACATCTGAACGAAATGGTTTTAATTAGTAGATTGAGTTGTATTCAGCACACTGTACAATTTTTTTTTTAATTTCAGTTATACTTCGAAGTTACAAATCACAGAGAGCAAAGGATTCGATTTAATTTCGAAGCTAAAGGAGAGCTTTTTCTGCTGAATGGTATTGAGCCGACATCGTAAGTATTATTCACAGTCCCTAATGCCAACAGCAAGAGAAAGATTCAGAGTCACTTGAACTCGAACTGACTCCCGTGAGTTATAATTCAACGTTTGTGACAAATCGTCGTCATACTTAGCTCTGACTTATTAGCCTATTTTTTAAGCGGGAATCTTCTCTTTAATTGTCGACACTAAAATCGTATGCCGAAATTGTTGAATGATGACATGGTTGGACCAAAATCAAATGAATTCTATTGTATTAGATTCTTAATAACAACGTCATCGGCAGTCACGACTATCTACTATCGAAATATGACTAGTCCCTTCGATGTCGTTATAACAGATTTTGACTGTATGTTTTATCATGCATCTTCTGTGAAAGATGAGTTTCATCGCCTGCCTGTATATATACAAAACTTTATATCAATAGGTCAGCCAATAGTGAAACAAATTTACGTAGTGAAGGAGACTTACGCCCGAACCCAATAATTAATCCACAATCTCAGATCAGACCGTGACAGTCGATCGATCTCCATCCCAATAACCAAACCCTACGAAGACAATCCATTTTTGGCGACGGATAAAATGCTCGTTGTCGTTCCATTCTACCGAGTTTTCACTCATATTTGATAATTAATCAATGTAAACCAAATAAAGTAAATAAAATCGTACAAATAACATTAAAATATACATGTGTATGTTTAAAACATAACAAACAGTTTTTTTAATTAAGTATTTAAAAAACCGGTGTAAGTTAAAATCTGTTAAAATAATTAACTGTTGCAGTCGAGCTTTCGTCAACTGTCATTTTTATACAAAGATCTATCCACAGACACCGATACGACCTCCCACGGATAGCTTGTATCGACAGATGCCTATTACAATCCGTCGATTGGTTATTTGCACATATGTTACAACATTTGGATTATTTAGATTTTGGATTTGGATTGAGATAGGTTATTGGGTTCGGGCGTTAGTAATATTAGTAAGCAGTGCTGGCCTAGTTTTCAGCATGCGACTGATTAGAGTCGCATCGAGTTCGTAGGTTCGATCCGCGGCTGTGTACCAATAGACTTTCTTGCGCATTTAACATTCTCTTAGTGTCTTAGACCCTAAAAGGCGAAGGCGTGTGTCAAGCACAGGAGACTGATCACCTACTTGCCTATTATAATGACAAATGATCATGAAACAGATAGAGAAATCTGTGGCCCAGGTCTAAAAAGGTTGTAGGTTTTTTTAAATAAAATTTTCGAGTCTGAATCTCGACTCTGAACCTCTCCTTAAATCTTTCTACGAACCCGATACCGACGGTGACATTGCCTCGTACCAGCCAGGAATACGAACTCACTTTGACTTACGAATCTAACTTTTGCAGACGAGATATAAATGCTGGTGAAACATTTACGGTGATAGTCAACTTGCTAATATCAGCCAATACACAACCAGGTCGGGATCTCATCACCTTCACGGCGTTTGGTAAGCAATGTTTAATAAAACAGGAAGGAAATGGAGGCGGGGGGGTGGTATCCACCGCTCATCGACACTTAGAATTTCGCTCCACGTCACGTGAAATTTGAATATATGAACATTTGTATACAGATTGTTTCATAAATGCCTTCGAAAAATTACAAGCCGTCCGTGGCTAAATCTGTCCGGTGAACAATATTCTTAGTAGGCTAACAAAACAGTTTAATATTTGTATATTGAATTATCTATTTATTTCGTAGATCTAAAGTAATTTCTTCTTATCTAAAGTTCTTTCTTCTTATAATAATAAGTTCTTTACTTCCGAGTTCGAATGGTTCGAGTCCGTATGGAACCTAACCCTTGAGTTTTACATGAAAACATACGAAAAAATATGTCTCGACTTGCGTCGCGTATTTCAAGAAACTAACATGCCGTAAGTACGAGGACTGCCTGTATATCAAACGAATTTTTGTCATCAGTCCAGTAGTTAGTTAATTTGTTATTTATCTTTTCTCTTTATAACATATATAATTTACATAAAAATACTTCAGTTTAGGGAGCGTTCAAGTATTACGTAACGCAATTTATGGAGATTATTGACCCTCCCCCCCCATGTATCTCGGCGTAACGTTTTTCAGTACCCTAGTACAGTACTGTACTCAAGTATAGTAAAACATTTCATGACCACCTTGTGTCTCTTTGGTTATTATTATGTGGTGTAAGTCGAAAATAATATTAACAATAACGCGTAATTCAATCCCCGCCCCGCATCGTAACGTTTTACAAAAGGACCCCCCCCTCCGAAAACGCGTTACGTAATACTTCAACGCTCCCTTATTCAACAATAATAAGTATATATATATATATATATATAAACTATATAAATAAATATAAATATATTAAAACTATATTCACAGCGGGCACTGAGCAACTTTCTTCATCAGTGTATGTATACATACTGGCCTCGGGTCAAACTATCAACGATGTAAATGCTCCAGAAGTGAGTCACAATTTCCAAGGCTCCTGTATACTCCGACAAGGGAGTGACTGTGCTGAATATACCTGGACTACGAATGTACTTGCCAGAGACCCTGCTTCTGGTAAGTGTTTTAGTTTTATAGAATACTAGCTGCCCCCGCGAACTTCGTTTGTCCTTAATGTGATTTTACTTTGCCTACCTTTTTAGTACATACCAACATGGAAAATTTTCCTATGCTACCCCAGAGACTGTTCGGTTTTCCGGAATGAAAACTTTTTAGGGTTTTTTGTGAATTTTTCTCTACATAAACCTCAGAGTTCAAGTCATAAGAGTTTAATTAACAAATAAAAATAGGGGTTGATCGTAGAGGGGTGTAAATTAAGGATTGTATGTATTTTTGTATGCTGTATCATAAAAAATATATTGTATAATAAAACGAAAAAAATTACCTAAAAATAATAATTAGACCACCCTTAACGTTTAGGGGTTTGAAAGATAGATAGTAGCCGATTCTCAGACTTACTGAATATGCATAAAAAAATTTCATAAGAATCGGTCGAGCCGTTTCGGAGGAACGAACATTGTGATACGAGAATTTTATATATTAGATGAACCCTCAAAGGTGTCTCGGTACCGACGGTGTCGTATGAAGTGAGCCAAGACTCGTATCGAAAAACCATGTATTGATTCTTTACTCTTCGAGGAACGAAGTAATATACAATAATTATTTGATTACTTAAAATTACTTATTTCATAAAGTAGTAAAGACCAATGTTCATATTTTAATTCATATCTCAAGTTTCATCAGTCTTGACCGCTGTCAAATTTGACAATTTGATGTTTGACATCTTCAAACAGAAGAAATGGCTTGACTTGACACTAGATTTAAATTTGATTGTTGTTTAAGAAAAGCCCCTAAGACTCAAAAGTTCCCAGAATAAAAATTAAAACCTTGCATGTGTCATTCTTTGAATCTGCAGATAATTTATGCATCTGATCATGATTATTGAAAAGCACTTGAAACATAGTAACAACAGTTAATAAATTCGGGTTTATATCCGTTAAAGTTTTATTTCAAGGAATACCCGTCATCCAAAGACATCACAAGACAACAACAAAAACGCATGATAGTTTTTGTATTACTCTTTAACTGTGGTAAAACCTTTTCAGGCCTGCTTCGTGTCACATCATCCCCAGTGGGTGTGTTTTATGACAGCAACTTCATAGCTGGGTCCAGGGAGCAATTGCAGGCAACATACAGAGCCACTTGTTGTTCACCACGGGTGATAATAAACGCTGTTGATGCCTTGGGCAACACTAACAGCTATACCATAGATATTTCTTGTAAGTAATTTAAAATAGAAAAAGCTAGCTAAGCAACAGCTTAGGCTGAATATATATTTACAGTTAGGTAAGTTCGATAGGAGTCTTTAATATGAAGTATAAATTATTTGGTTTTTTTGGTTAATAATAAATGATTTACTTTAAATTGTCCCAGTATTAAATTAAATAGTTGAAAAAGGAATTTAACTGAACAACAGTTTTTCATGCATAGTAGGGACGATAAAACACTTCATTCTCTTTTTAGAAGCATTGCAATAGTGCCAACATGAGTTGAAAATATAATATCACAAATACATATCTTTATATATATAATTCTTCTGTGAGTGTGTATGTCATTGAACTTCTCTCAAACGACTGGACCGATTTTGATGAAATTTTTTGTGTGTGTTCAAGGGGATCTGGGAATGGTTTAGATTCACAAATCAGCCCGGCAGATGGCACTGCAGTCGGTACTTGCATACTTTGCTTAATATCCTAATCGCTTTAAATATCATGCAGGACAACGTCTCGGGTCCACTAGTATATTAATATATTTTAGATTAGCTGTTATTTGAAAATGTAAGCATCCTTTGCTACATCATAAACATTTAATTTATTCAAGAAGACCAAGGCACATAGGTGTGTGTCCTCACTTATTAATTTCTGTTTACAGATTACCTTCCACCTGCCGCCATAGCAGCCATTGTACTAGGTGTATTTCTATTGATTGCAATTATAGCTCTCACAATATTCCTTATTTACTGGTGTGTAAGACGGAGAAAGGATATCAGGGATCTGCCTACTTACACATCAAGAAATGTTAGTTAAGATGTATAAAAGATTTAAGATATATGCATATTGATTAAATGTAAAAAATTCATTATTTTAAATGTATACGCAGGATATTTCTAAAAACTGATTTAGACTGGCTCTTTAACAAGGGTGACACAACTTTTTCCCTCTTATTTATCAATAACATTTAAAATTATATCAGACGCATAAATGGAATTTTATAAGCTTTTGGCAAGGAGTAGACATTTTTAACTACTTCTGTATAAAACATAGTATTAAAAAATATATGTAAACAGGTTTAGTACTTTAGACACTTTAAGCTCGTTTATAAACATACTCTAAGCCCTGATGAAGTGAAGAGCAGGTCTAGTGGCTTAATTATCATACTCTCACATCACTACTTAGTGGATTTTTTATACCATGTGTGCAATTAACATGCACTCTTACAAATCACAATATAATATGTCTGTCTTACTTATCTTTTTATAAAATAAAAATTTATCAAAGAGATATGCATTTTGACAGCAATAGGTATACTGACAGGGCTGTAGTACCACACCATGTTTATTATTAATATATACTGTAATTAATAGTTTTTTTTTATTTATTTTCAAAGTAATGTGTTTGTGTCACACATTGGGCAGTTTATTGTATGTTTATGGAGGAGGGGTAATGGTGTATAAATATTTTGTCATAAATTCAGTGTGCAAAATATATGTCTAAGTTACCTGTAACAGTAAGTTATTTTGTAATGTATAATTTCAACTTTATATATTCAGCTTGAATTAAGCTATCTCCATTATATAGCAAAAGATATGTGTATAACAGATGGCTGAAAATTATAATATCTTACTATCATGATTGTAACAGAGTAAACATCAAAATTAATTTATTATAATTTTTCTTGGTTTCTTCTATTACGGGTAAAATTTTATATTGCTAGTGTAAATGCAGCCATATTTAGCTTTTAAGTTTTACTAAATTATTTTAAAATAAATTTGTTGTGATACACTTTATGTTTGATTTCCTTCTACAATCTCTCAGCTTCAAACATATATTGGATTTCTCAGACAGATGTCACATTTAGTGCTAAGTCTCATCTCTGATTTTTTTTATATTTAACAGATTGGTTTCATTTGTTTGATTCTAGATGCAAAACTAAACTATACTATATAACTATACAGTATCTACATTTATAATAAACAAGAAAACCACATATACTTAATTCAAACCTTAAGTATAATATGCCAATAAGTTTTACAGTCTCACAACTTACTTTCTTCAGTGTATTACTGGTATACAAATGTTGATAATATCGACTGAAGACCGGTGATATTTCACAACGGAATGGAATTTTGTTACTGCCATACAAAAAAGAAGGCATTTTATAAGAGAAAAGCGCCACCGTCGTCAATATACTTTTATTTACGATTTACAGAACCACAAAAGTACTATAATAAAGAAAACGAAAGTTTGTGATTTAGAAAAAACTACAGAAAACAAATATTGCTGCACATTCGTAGCAAATTTTCGCGATAACTGTCAGTAAATGACGCCTTCATTCGCAATCATGGTGTGAGATCATAAGCTGGCAAAGGTCATCGAAATCGTGTTCAAAAAATTTTTAGGTACTAAAATAGCACATACCTTGTCTTGTGATCAGTTCCTGGCTAGGAACAGCGGGCAACAACACTGCATTGTGCGTCAAATCCTCAATTGAAAGGCCAACAACAGCCGTCGATAACAATGGGTTTTTCACAACACTCCTGTTTATATGATCACCAAAACCTTTTTCAGACATATTATCGCGGTTTTATTAATGGGTACATCAAAACTTTTACACGAATTTTCACATTTGGAGGTCACAAAAAACAAATTTAATTATGTGAAATTACGTGTCACAAATTTATATTTTGATTTGACGTTAGTCAATTGTCAAAATTTGGATCATGCATTTTTTTACTCCTAGCCGGTAAGGGTCACAGACAAAGTATAGAGTTTTTGAAGAAAGTAAAAGAGTACACATTGACAGACTGAGTTTTTTCAAATAACATGCACATAAATCGTGTCATCCGAGTATATCTTTACAAGAGTAAATTGAATACATTTACTACTTCAATTATAATTCCAGTCGTTGCGTCTCATATAATTTTAGTTTATATTTCTTAGTCTAGGACGATCAAAGGTGCAGGTGTTTAAACCAGGTTTTAAATTTAGTAACAAAAACTTGCCTACGAGGGGCGTCAGCTGCCTCAACCACGTCTATCTGTGCCTTGAAAAAAAAAGGGTGCGTGTACTTATGTACGCGCGTAAGAAGTTATACTTCTTTGGCATAACTTCTTATTAAAAATAGTTTTTGATTGCATGCAAATAATTAATTACAATTAAATAATCAAAGACTGGAAAAGGAGTCATTATAGTCAATAAAGTTCAGTTTACATTTGAAAAATTAAATAACATAAATTTTATTATTATTCGAATGATGTTTTTAAATTATGTCCAATGCCGTAGCATCTACTGTGGGCAACTTCTTTCTGTTAACTATGTGTCATGGTGCGCGCGCATCGTAAAATTTCACTCTCATAAATTTTTCATAACGCGCCTAAAGAAGTATAACTTCCAAAAAAGAATTAAAACTTCTCACGCGACTTTCAACAAAGTTACGTTAAACGTTTAACGCTACCATGGAGAGGGTATGAAAGCACTGTTGCGTTAAACGTTCAACTCTCCTGGGGAGAGCCAGAGTGAATGCGTGGCACTCGAACGCATGCGCGTAGTATACCTGTTACAGGCCAGCGCGAGCAACTTATCCCTTCCTATTTTCATTACCACATTTCGAAGTTTCACTTCTTCCGCGTGGATAGACTCCACACACTACTTTTTTAACTACAGCAGCCACCAATGAGTCGATGACATGCAGTGCCTTAAGCCCCGTATTCATGGTAAACATTTGTTTAGCAACAGTTGCTAAACATTGTTGGTGAGCGGCGAGAATGTTGCTAGCAACTATGTTTAAATCAATACAGGTTGTCCACACGCCAGTCTGCGTTAAAATGTTGCCCGAGGAGGTAGTGTTGTTGTGTTCTCTGTATCAGATGTATAGAATCTCTAATAAAAAAAAGAGAAAAAGATGGTGGATTCGAAATTATCTTTTGCAAAGAGAAAATTTGATGAGTGACCTCAGAATGACAGATGGATCATTTTGTAACTTTACGAGAATGTCGAAAAGTGATTTCGAACATCTTCTAGAAATGATTGGTCCATCAATAGCCAAAAGGGAAACAAATATTCGTCAGCCAGTTTCACCTCAAACGAGGCTGGCTATTACATTACGGTATCTTGCAACTGGAGATTCATACAGTTCTCTTTCATACACATTCAAAGTATCAAAACAATTGATTAGCAAAATTATACCAGATGTATGTCAAGAACTAATTAACTCACTAGCAGGATATGTCAAGGTACAAGAACACTATTTGTGTAATCAAGTATTTTATTAATTAAAAAACACAAAAAAAAAGTGTATGCTATTGCGTTGATTCATCACTGAGATAGTTAACTAAGTTTAGTATAGCCGAATCTTCTGTTTCGTCTCGTAATGCATCTAGTCTATTTGTTTCGTGTCTCTCAATTTCCCTTATTTCAGTTTCCTGAACATTATTTGGTGTTGATGATGGATGAGAAGATGCCGTTTGATATCCATATGTATTATATCGTCCCATTTTTAATTCATACAGTATATTATTAATATGGTACTTTGCCTGTGTCACGGCTTGGTCATCTTTAACACTTCTTAATTCAGCAGCAATATATTCACCATATATATCAAATGGATCCTTCTTCTCCCTTTCATCCATCTTTTTTCTAGCACTTTTCAAAACCTCTAATATTTCATTTGATTCATCTGTCTTATTTCTTTTCCTCGAAGATGTAGATGTTGTAGCATTCGGCCTTGGTGATTGAGATGGCTCTGACTCCATACCACTTTCAAGTGCATTGTTTTCATCTACCTGTAAATTATTATCTTATTATATATTTATTTATTTTTTAGGTTCCAAGTTCGGAACAAGAATGGAAACAAATAAGTCGTGAATTCGAAATACGATGGAATTTTCCACATTGCATTGGGGCCATTGATGGGAAACACGTTATGATTGTGGCGCCAAATAATTCTGGAAGTGAATACTACAATTATAAAAATCAGTTCAGCATGGTACTTATGGCAATTGCAGATGGCAATTACAACTTTATTTACGCAAATTATGGAGCTAAGGGTCGGTCGTCCGACAGTGGAATATTTCAAGAAACACCGTTTTATAATGCATTGTTAGAAAACTCACTTAAACTGCCACGGCCTGAACCAATAACACAAGGCGGAACAGAAATGCCGTATGTAATTGTAGGTGACAGTGCTTTCGCGCTAACGGAGAACATCATGAAACCATATCCTGGCATTCATGAACGTGGGAACAAAAAGCGTATATTCAATTACAGACTATCAAGAGCTAGGAGGATTATAGAAAATGTTTTTGGCATTTTATGTGTGGTGTTCCGTGTATTCACTAAACCTATTCCGTTAAAACCAGCCAATTGTGAACTCGTGGTAATTGCTTGTGTATATTTACATAACTTCTTAAGACGTAACTCAGTTTCCAGATCCATATATACACCTCCACAAACTTTTGATTTTGAAGACTCTGAAGGTAACCTATTAGAAGGTTCTTGGCGAAGGGAACTAAGTTCGTTTCCTATGATTGATTTGCAAAGACGGGGCAGGCCTGCATCACAATCAGCTCTTTGTATTAGAGAACAGTTTGCCGATTACTTTATAACTCCAGAGGGAAGAGTTCCATGGCAAAATAATGTAGCGTAATTGTAATAATTTTACAGACAATAGTATAAAACAATTATATACAAAAACAACTTACTGTTTTATTCATAGTATCCGTTTCACCAGAAGTAGTTGCACCACATAACAAAAATTCCAATGGCTCGTAATAAATCCATTTACATTTTTCTATTGCGCCGCTGCCTGTAGTTTTTTTTGCCGACATCTTTTTTTTCTCTCTAGTAAATTGAGTACGCAGTACATGTATTTTAGTTTCTACGTCTTTTTGGGTATATTTAGGACTTGAGAAATTTCTTCGAATGCATCGTTCTTTTTGTTTCTATCTTTGTATTGTTTTATAGAACAATCCCATAATAATGGTTTTGATTGAAATAATTCTATTAATTGCATTATTTTATCATTGCTCCACACTACTGCCATGTTTATAAACTGTTGCAAACTCGTCCACACACGTCAACAATTGTCGCTAAACTGATGTTTACGCTTGTCGGGCGAGAGCTTGTCAACATGATGCTGTCAACTCTGCAACACGCAGTGTTGCCAGCAACATGTTGACAGCAACTCCGCAACACGTTGATTCAACTTTGTTGCTCAACAAATGTTTCCCATGACATGCAGTGCCTTAGTGGCTCAAAGCCGTGATCAACTTTAAAAATGCTTATGGACATTGAATAAGTTTAGAAGGTATTCCTTTTATCAGTTTAATGTCTTCCAAGTTATTCCGAATATAATAATATTATCTGTGGGTAGTCTTGATGATATATTACAACTAGTACTAATGTCTGTGACCTGTGTGTGAGTGTGTACTGTGTACTGTGTGGACTAGTCTGTGGTTGCTGGATGACTAGGAGATCTCCACTTAGAATATTTTTATTATATTAGTCATTACTCAATTACTCATTAGAGTCATTACCATTTTACCATTTTATCTTGTGCCGGTGAACTGTGAAGTCTTAGTAACAATAATGTTGCATTAATATTTCATTACATTTTTTGACCGTAAATTATTAAACAACCCTTTTCTTCAACGATGAGTTTATATTTAGATGAGTATAGTATTATTTTCTTTCACCTATGGAGGTATGTGTGTGAATTGTTTAACGGTCATAATTTTTTGGTATGGTTGTTATAAATTGTTGTTTAACTTATCGTCTACAGTAAAGGCTGTAGGCTTATTTTCTGCTTTATTAAAGCATTGTTTCTGCTTAGACTTGTCGATCTAAATTATTCAGTTGGCTCCTTTTAAATAAAATAGTTAAGCACTAGCAACAGCCAACAGTACCAACTTCTTTGTTGCTGGCTATAGGAAACTCATAATTCACAAAATTTGTCATTTCTTTACTAATCAATTTGGTATTACTGGTTTTGGTTGTAAAATAATTGTAATAAAACATTACAAGTATATTTTCTGTAAGTTGTAGGAAGTTGATTTTGTCATTACACTTGTTAAAGAACAATTAATAGTTTTAATTACTATTGCCCCAAATTTGATCTTCAATTTTACTCTTAGATGTCAAGATTATTTGTTTTTAAAAATATAGGCTGATGTGTTAAATTAAAGTTAAATTGAACATATCATTTTAAAAAGGGTAGAAGTCCAATTAGTAAATCTTATAAGAATAGTCTTAAAAGCTAGCTTTAGAGAATAGCATATGCAGAAGTATTACTTTATGATAAGGATGGCCTAGAACCCATCTTCAGTAAGAATCCACAAATAGCACCTATTTCTTGTAACGATTTTGACACCATTTTCTAATGTCTATAACATGTTCAGTTTTAGGCCTTTTAAAGTTTTGGTTAGTTTCAGTGATAAGATTTTTATACTTGGTTGGTGTGTATATCATGTAAGTTTTTCTGATATGTCTTGAAATGAATCACTTTTTTGGGTTTCATACCCAATGGTATCATCTCCTTTATATTGTTACCTTGTTCAGCCAGTGATAAAGGAATGTTGACTATTATTCAAATTTTGGCCTTAACAACCATCTGAAAAAGGGTGCATTTCTTCAGCATCATTACCAATATATTTTTTAACTACGTTGTTTAAAACTCCCTTACTTGCAGTGGCCAATTTAGCAAATGGAAACCTTTAGGATTATTCTTGCACTTAGTTTTCACTTCCCATATTTTTTTGTAAAAATAATTTGCTTGTCTTTTGTTGATTTCAATATCTGCTTGATAGACGCTGATGATGCATTGTAATTAATATGCAGATTTTTTTAATATAACCTCTATACGCACAACGGACCAACCTCGAGTCTAATTGCGGAGAAAGGAGTCCTTCAACCCTAATATAACCTCTAACTCTTCACACAGCAGACATCAATCTTTTCATCCAAACAAGCTAAAGTTTTCCTGGAAATATTTTAAGTAATACATACTTCAATTTAACAGGATGATCTGGATATTTTTGTTCATATTCACTTTTTTAATCTAAATAATATGATGATTTAATAGGGAACGACTTCATGTACTCCTGTATTTTTAATGTACCACCACATGCATTGCTCTGAGCTCGGTCTAATTCACCTTGGTGATTTGTCATTGGTCTAATAAATCACAAAAACAACTGAGAAATTCCAGTGATACTGCAAAAAGCTTTCTTGCACACTTTTCTTTTTACACCTTTTATCTTGATGTGAATAATTAATGTAAATTCCCTTAGGTTCAGCAGATCTAGGCTGTTTGCTGTGTAATTTCTTCTTTTCAATCAATGTCTGCATCCTGGGCACTTTTACAATTAAATTGTTAACCAACTGGATAGTACTTCAAATCTTCAGATATAAGCTCCATACATATTAAATTTCATCTGTAAATGAGGGAAACAATTACGTTGTCTTGATACATATATGATAAAATTGACTGTTGTGTACATTATGATAAAACAAACAAAGTATTGAGAACGAATATTGAACAAAAGCTAACATGTATGAAGCTCCCGTGTCTTGGTGCCACATCATTCACGAGCCTCCAGCTATTTCGGTATGTCCAATGGCAATAAGCGTTTTCGGACAGCGACCGAGTCTCCATTTCTGTAAGAAATAAAATGATAGTTGACATTATGTTATGTCTCATCTGACAGGTTTTGGAGGTTTTTGGATTGTAACTTTTTTTATGGCTCGAATTTCACTTTTTTTTTACGCCAACAGAACAATGTGTCCTTTGGTTATCAGATCTATGGCTCCTTAAAAATTCGACTCCTTATTCCGACACCTTGCAAACCAAACAATTCAAAGGCACATTCGTCGGAATCAGTCTGGTGCTTTGTAAGCAGTCCAGAGGTTGAAGGGACTGGTTGATTATACTTGAAAGCTGAGACATTATCCTTCGATTTTGGAGATTTATTGAAGGTGCTTGGCGAACTGACTTCTGGCATAGTTGGGAAATCGATTTCTGGATTATCGTCGAAGGTGGGTGGGACATCTATTTCTGGGGCATCTTCTGCATTATCTCTTTGGCTCGTAACTAATATTTGTGCCCCTGGCTTATTAACGACTTTCCTCCCTCTTCTGCGACAAATTCTTTCAGTGTTGTAACTCTTGTGTACCACAAAGAACGGTTCGGTGGCCGTCGATATATAATCTTATACTAGAATAAGTCCTGAGTACATACCTCGTTGTACTGCTCCTTACTAGGAAGAAAGGCACACAATTAAGTACGTCAGCCGTAAGGATTTGGAGAAATTGTTAGTTTGGGAACAAAGAGAGGTTAGACTGATGCTGTACCCCTTGTCTTGCAATAATAGTTCACGTACACGCACAAATGACAAAACACTCACTATAAAAGTCTAAATGGAGGACGTAACTATTGACAAGAAATTAAGAAAAGTATATATGTAAATGCATCAAACGTTAACCGAGTGAATCTCAACAATGTCTAATGAATAAATGTGAGGATCGGCCGAGTAAAAATATTTTTGAGATCACCCTAATCAAATTTAATAAAATTAAAAATATGTATTTCGAACACCTTGTCTCTTAAAAACTCCAGCAGAAAGCTATCTAGGATACGTCCTGTTTCTTGTTCGCGTTTACCTGGGAGCTTTTGTAAAACAGCTTGAGGGTCGAAAGGGTAAAATCCCGTAGTTCTGAAGGAGCTCTGCAAATTTTTCAATCAGTCTCAGTTCATAAGACTACAACATGAGTTCAGTAACATGGGAAATTGTGGCTTTGGAATGATGCCCCGTATTCTCGATTCCTTTCTCCAAGTATCCAGAATCTTTCTCCATTGTCTTTTTAAAGGACCATATCCACATCGAGGGGTTGCATTGTGTGCGTCGAGTTTGGTGTTAAAGTCGTAAAATTAATGTTATTTTGTACTGCTGCCTGAACGACTTCAGTTGAGAAGTGCGAAGCTAAATTATCACCTATGACAACAGCTTTTTCATTTCCATTTCTTTCTTCCTGAATGCTCGACAACAATAACTTGAAGAACCATACCTCGAAGAGGTACAAAAAAGGAATGAAAAAAAATAGGAAAACGTCAAACCAACCGCTATGACTATTTCTGTAAATTGTTCCAAGTGGGCCTCCTATGTCCAGTTCTCGTTCAGGTGCTTTGATTTGTAGACAACCATAGGAGGAATCATTTTTCCGTCTGTTGTGCCACAAAACATGATGCTGACCGATGATTTGGAATGCTCCTGGACTCGTTATGGCGCTCTTTCAAAGTAGCCCCAAAATCTGTCAAAGTACCCTGAAAGTCAAAGAAGCCCCGTTTTGCTTGTCATTGTCGTTTCACTTGAAATGGGCATGCCCAGGACTCAGGTCGTTTTAAGCAGTTCCTGATTTTAGATTGCATTTTTGAGATAACAATAATAATAAATAAAATTATGTAGAAACAAATATTTAAAATACAATCAGAAGGTTAACAGAGTCACAATAATTAGAGTAAGCGCGCCAATTATGGACCACCATAAGGATTTTGTGAAATAAAACTCAGAATTATAAAGATTAATCAGCCTTATATATTTTGAACAGTTCGATAATTATTTGGTATCAAAAACGAATATCAGAATTCTTAAGAAACATGAACATCTTAGAAATAATCAACATTTTCTAAAATATAAGATTATTTGCATTTGCAAAAAGTGGATAAAATATGGACCATATGGTTTTAAATATGAACCACAGTAAATTGGGTTCAAAATTATATAAAAAAAATGGACGTGTTGCCTAAAATTAAATCAGTCAACTATTCGATAAGATTTAACTAATCCCTGGTACAGAATTCGCACACATAGTAATCAACCATATCTTCTATGCCAGCGCAGTCTTCATGAGTCCACCGCCTACATGATGCACATTGGATCCATTTCTCTCCATGAACGTCTTCAGAAAAAAGGCCATCACAATACAAACATTTACCATTTTGATTTTGGGAACGATCAGGACTTTCATCGGTACTATCCATGACTGAATAATCACTTTTATCAGAACTTGCAGACGATGATTTTCTTTGTTTTGAGATCTTTCTTTTCTTTAGGGCTTTTTTTGGCATTTTCTTTGGGGATTTTTTTTTGGGGCTGTCTTTGGTGTGTTCTTTTTATGTTCTTTTGTATCGACGTTTCTATATCTTGTTTATAAGGTGATGATGTCAAAATTGTGGGCTTGGTGGCCTTTCTTCCTCTGTTGCTGACAGTTTTCCTTAAACGCGGTATACGCTGCAACTCCTTTGACGAAAAATATGATCTAGATGATGTAGATATTGCATCAATCATAGTCGGCGTTGGTACTCCTGGTTGTGCGGTTGCTTGATGATGTCCATCAACGCTCTGGGGTAATGGTTCATTCACAGATTGAGGTTCCAGAGTACAACAGCCCTTGGCTCAGGTATCGGGTTATCGGGAATGATATTAACTGGTGTCGTCATATCGCGCGCTGGATCATTAGAAGGCCCCTCTACTTCTGGAAGGTCTTCGTCAATAAAATCATGATCTTCATAGACGTGTCTATTAACGGGATATATCCCAGTTGCACGAAAACCGCTAATTGCCAATTCTGCACGCTGAGCTCTTATATAGGCTAGACCAAATAATCCCGCAATGTCAAAATGTGTTACTGCTCGAGGTTGCATTCGCTTGCGAGTTTCTTCAGTCAAGTACTTTTTTAATGGACCCATGAATGTTTTATCGAGTGGCTGCATTTTGTGACTTGAGTGTGGAGGCAGAGACAGCAAGTGAACATGGTTTTCTCTGGCTAAATCCACTACTTTAATATTTCTGGTGTGGCTTGCATGGCCGTCTAAAATCAGGAGAACCGGTGATGTAGCACTTGGTTTCACATGCTGTAAAAAATACTCGAACCATTAAGTAAATAGATCAAGTTTATCTATCCGGATGGATGATAAGCATGGATGGCGCCAAGTGGAGCACCTTTCATCAGTAGTGGATTGTCCCGTTTCCTCGGGAATATCATCATCGGCGGGACAAATGTGCCACCTGCACTCATACATATCACACAAGTAATCGTTGATCCACGTTCAGCTGACGTTACAGTTCCTATTTTTTTTTTCTTTTAAAATCTATGTATGAATGAAGCGGAGATAAGCCGAACTCAAATTTACTAGCGTCAGGTACCTTATTTAAACATTTATTTAAGTCATTCATCTCTTTCGGTGTTGCACCACAAATGTAACACCTACTCGTAGATAAATCGCTATGAGCAGAACATACTTTACCATCAAACATAGTAAATTGTAAAGTGTGTGAGATTTTAATTTCGCGATCATAAATAACAACTATAGTGGGCACTAATTCATCGATTTGACTTTTGAAATAATTTTGTTCTTGTAAAGAAACTTCCTTTGATTCCTTAATAAATTGGAAACGAATTGGTCGGCACCACCTAGTAGAGGGAGGGCGTGGATTTTTCCAAATAATTGATTCATCAGAGGTGTTTGATTTACAAATAAGTTGTAGTGGTACATAAGAAGTTACAAATAAACTTGAGTCATCGTTTGCTGAATCTGAAAATTTCTGCTTGTGTTGACTATGGCCTGTGCTGCCATCGAAACCCCATTTACCAATTAAAACAAATTCGCTTTCAGATACGGGAAGACTATCTAAAACAGGCTTTTGAGATTCAACAATTCGACTTGATGTATGATCTAACAACGATTGCAAATTAATCTCAGCAGATGATTCCGTTACGCGAATATCAGTTGGGTAGCAACGTTTTTTGGCTTCCAACACTCTTTGATAACATGGAAAAGCATTTGGTATTTTAGAATTAATCAAGTATAAAATGTATTGATGTTTAGTTAGTTTAGCTTCAGTAATAAATGAAACGATTTCATCAGAGTTGAATTTTAAGAAACTGTCGGCTGATTGATTGGAATCACTAAGTAAAGTATTTATAGCAGAATCATCTATTTGAGATAAAATTGCCAACCTGCGACGTTTGCTTCTCTTGCTGCATTCTCCAAACTCCTTCCTGTGCTGCGTCCTGCTTGTAGATTGAAGATATTCGCTTGTCTCGTCGTCGTTTTCATGTAGTTCTCCGTCAGAGCTCCCAAGAATGACCACCGCGGTGGTCCATATTATAAGACACATATATTTCTAGGTTAATACTGTTGCTAAGAAAATTATAAAAACTATTGGATATTGAGACTTAATATGAATAATTTTAAAATAACTCACCTTTCCCCTGGTTTAATCCACTTTCCCAAACAGTAATATTTGCTGAAATTATGAGCTTACGAAATTAGGTAAAAAATTACATCACGCGTTGATAAAAACGAAAAATGACTCCAGTGAATACGCGCTCTCTCTGCCGACCGGCAAGCGACTAGCGAGGCGCGGGAGGGGTGGAGCTTAGCGCGCGGCGATCGGTGGCTTAATACGACGGGCGGTTTCTGAGAAATGAAGGTAGTCCATATTACAAAACCAGTCCATATTTGGCGCACTTACTAATACATATCAGCAGAGCTAATTACGTAAAGGTAGATCATTTATATAAACAAGAAAGAGGAAAGGGCCAAGAATTGAGCCCTGTGGTACCCCCATATCTACTGCCGACCCAGAGGACCTCTTACCATTCACTTCAAACTTCTGCGTTCTTCCGTGTAAATAGGAAGTCAGAAGATTCAGTGCGGTATTCTTGATGCCATAGTGACGGAGTTTCCCGATTAAGGTCTCGTGTTGGACACAACAATCAAATGCTTTGGATAAGTCGCAGAAAATACCTAAAGCGTCATGCGACTTCTCCCAAGCCTTAACTATATATATATATATATATATATATATATATATAACTCAACGCCGGCATCTGCTGTCGAGCGACCCTTGGTAAAACCGAACTGATTATTATGTAATAATTTGTTTACGTTAAAATGTCTAACCAGTTGATTTAATATAATTTTTTCAAATATTTTACTACAAGTAGGTAGTACGGAAATTGGTCTAAAGTTACTGGGGTCGGACATACTACCTGCTTTAAATAAAGGAATAACTTTACTATGTTTCATTAGATCGGGAAACTCGCCACTTTTAATACAATTGTTGAAAATTATAGCTAGATGGGGAGCAATTACATCAATTATGCTACTAATTATTTTTACAGAAATACCCCAAAGATCGGTAGTGTTCTTAATGTCTATGGTTCTGAATATCCTCACTATATCGTCGGCACCAATGGGTCGGAAATCGGAATGTAAAACTGACCTTGCACTCGTTTACATTATCTTTGAGCAGCGATTCAGCGAGGGCGGGAGATGATTGAAGATACTTAGTAGTCGAAGTTGGAATGTCAGAAAAGTACTTATCAAAAACAATCGCTATCTCTTCGTTAGATTTGATTATAGTGTTATCGACACATAGTTCGATGTCTTGATTGCGATCCCTGACTCTTCCAGTTTCACTATCAATTATCTTCCAAGTCATTTTAGTTTTATTGGTACTATTTTTAATCTTGTTTCTGATATTTCAGGACTTGGCCGCGTAACAAACTTTCTTAAATAATTTCGAACATAAAGAATAAATTCTTCGTTATGATTGTATGACTTTTCAGCGTAAAGGTCATACAACCGTTGTCTACTTTTATAAATTCCCTCTGTCGCCCAATCACTAAACGATTTACACTGCGAATGAGAGACTTTCTTTGGGGTAAAGATGGTGTTGAACTCTTTATTAATACAATCACTTAGATTGTTGTATTGTGTATCAACGGTAGTACCTACCGGTAATAAAGGTAGGTGTTTACCTTTATTATGTCTAAAGCTCACCATTCGCTTTTTATTTACTGGAACAAACTCTCTGCTCTTATTTACTTGTTTCACCACTTTACATTTTAGCGCCACTAACTGTCCACAATGATCTGAGCTAAGATCAGTTGTAATTGAGGTTTGCATTGCCTCTGCATCTGTAAATACATTATCTATACCGATACCTCCCACGTAAGTTGTTGTATCTCAAAAACTGCAATTTTACAGTAGAGCGTTTCAAAGATTCAAATTAACCCAAAATCTGCATTTATTGTTGTATCTTTTTAAAATTTCGTATTTAATGTAATATAATTAGTCTTTTTAACTACGTTAAAAGAAATTTTAAGTAATATGTCTATTTGCGGAGATATTGTTCATACAACATTTTACTCCGGAGTAGAAGCTATGCCAGTTGTTGCATCTGATACTAACAACATTATACCGCGGCGCCCAGATAGCATCACTTGTGGTATATGATAGTTACAACTGTATACTTTGAAAAACATAAGTCTTACTCTGTTGTATGTGGTAATTATATTTATATAAGGTACAGAATTCAAATTTACAATTTGAAGGTGATGAATTTTTTAGGTTAATAAATAAAAAAGAAATGTTATTAAGGTTATTTTTTTATTAGAAACAACATCAGTGTTAAAAAGCTAATCAGAAAATCTTTGAAAATAAAATAGTGAGCTTTTAAAACTTAATTAAATTACTTCTTCTTTTGCTGAATAATCAAAAACGTTTTAACACATAACAATCATACAAAAGACTTTTTAATACAAAGTTATAGAATAGGTAACGTTACAAACTCTTATTAAGAACTAATCAAATAGAATTACAAAAATCAACATCACTATAAAAAATAAAAATATGAACTTAATTAATCATTTATATGAGATCAGCTTAAAATCAAAGTAGTAATTTGGAAACTATTTATAATTTTTCGCATGTATTTATTGGTTTATAATAATGATAAAGAAATTTTAAAATAAAAACAATTGTGTTAATTGTCAACCTAACAAACCTAACATTAGCTTTTATGGGAGCCTTAAAACAATGTAAAACAAATAAATATTATTTTTATGAGATCAAGATTAAAACCTGAGAGGCTTAATCAAAGGCAATATAGAAAAAAGAAAAATAAATGGAAAATTTACAAAAGACTAATGTCTATTCTGAATCAGAAAATTCAGCGTCATTATTAACGCCAGCAACGAAAGATAAATGCCTGAAAAAGTCGTGATACGTAGCTGGAATCATTTCAGTATGACACAGGTTCATTAAGTCGTCATATTTTGCCTTAGTTATGGGAAGGCGGTTGGAATACAAGGGGCATAGCTCAGCCATACTATTCCTTTGGCGTCTACGGGTATTGGTATTAAGAGCAATTGTCATAGCATTACTGTCTGCCAAATCGTACCGATACATAATTTTAAAAGGATCTTCTGCACATACACTTACTTCTTTTATTTTATTCTATCTAACTACGTTCCCGTTTACATTTTTAGACCAATTACGTCCAATCAAAAGTGTTTTATAGTTTAAAAAATCTGTATGCTTCATTTCTATGACGTTATATGGTTTGCCCTCCTGTTTCGCCCATCGAACCAAGCTAAACCATTCAAAGGGTGTATAAATAAGTTTATTTTTGGACGAACGTTCTATTAGAGCATGTACGCTATCACCTTCTGCCTGGGTGTGACCTTTTTCAAGAAATGTATGTTTGATAGTAATATTAAGCTTATGAGCAATATAAACATAAAACGCAAACACAATACGATTGCGATTCTGACCGGCACAATTGTCAGACCAGAATCTAAATTCTTTTGCACCTTGTTCATGCTTTTTATGTATAAAATGAGAAAGACAGCCTGATACCTCATTAGAACCACGTTTGGCTTCTCCCTCGTGCCACATATAACAATGACCCTCTTTATTTGCTAAATCAAACAAAGTAAAATTAAAGACGGACAGCTTCCGTTTGTAATATAAAATACTCAATTGGCCATGGGGTGCATTGATAATCTTTTGAAAATCAAAAGTACCAGCAATTATTTTACCTTCAGAAGATTTGCTTTCTTCTTTGTCAGACTTCATGAGCTGTCGGGATAACTTCTTGTTAGTGACGTGAATTTCATGATCGATGACTTGCTGTTCTGTTGGACCGTTAATATTTCTGAAGATGTGACACTGATCGCACTGATCTTTCTTAGGAATATGAAAACTGAGCTTAAAGTTTTCATTT